ATTTCACCATGAAAAATGGAGATTTAAGTGAAATTCATGGTGATTTAAGGGCATTTAATAGGATTTAAGTGAAATTCATGGTGATTTAAGGGGATTTATATAATGGGATTTAAGTGACATTCATGGTGAATTAAGGGGATTTATATAATGGGATTTAAGTGACATTCATGGTGAATTAAGGGGATTTGATAGGGATACAGAATACAGAATAGATATGAATTGTTTTTTAGGGATTTCACCACCAAAAATTGAGATTTACAGGACAATCCGGGGTATTAGAAACAGGATCATGGGATAATAGGAATAAAATGGGGATGCATTCTCAGCATTTTCCAAGAATTGGTGTAGATTGGGGAGATCGTGGGATATGAATGGGATATGAATGGGATATGAATGGGATATGAATGGGATATGTAGATATCACTGAATCGCAACGGGCAACTGTATATAGCTACAATTTGTATAAATAACCAACAGGACGGTATTTGGGTGTGTCTGACAATGTGGTAATCCCGCCAAAACACGGCAATTTTGGATATTTTTTGTAGTAAAAATGATGATCAACCACCAAATTTGTGGGTATGTATGACCCCGTCTGAGACAAACCACCAACAAGAAGTAGTTGCCACATTGTTGCCACTATTTTAGTATGATTTTACTTTTCTATCTGTCTGGGGGTTGCCATGTTTACCATCCAACTTCCAACATGGTCATATTTTTCGAACGAACATGGTAGTGTGTGTTACCGGAACGGGCAGATTTTGTGCAAAAAGAAGATTCTTGATGGTGGCAAGTGTGAACAATTGACCGCATCATTTTTTGGATATCTGGTTGGTGGTTTGGAACATTTGTTTTTTCCCATATATTGGTATATAATAATAATCCCAACTGACTAATATTTTTCAGAGGGGTTGAAACCACCAACTAGTTATACCCTCCAGTAATCAAGCATAGCCACTGGAAATCCCCTTTAAAGGCTTTAGGACAATCATCGAAGTAGTGGATGTTCCAGCTTCAAAGGGGTGCTATGTCATGCTATGTCCACCATTTTCATAGAATTCACCTGGTCATTTGCTCCAACTTACACAATTCAACCACAAAGCAGCATTTTTCTTGCTTAACCCCGCATAAACCCAACACTTAACCGGGTTATTTGCAGCGAGTTTGCTAACTTCGGGGTACCATCTCCTGGAATGAAACATATATGGCGATTTATTGGGACGCAGCATTCATTATATTCCCACTATGGGATTTGGTGTTGGTTCCACCTTTTTCTCCATAGTTTCATAATATATTCCCACTATGTGATTTTTAAGTATTGTGAAACCCTTTTTGAGACTAGTTTTCATAGTGTTTCCCTTAGTCAGACACCATAGGTAGCCGCTGATTGTACAGACCTGGACGGCTTCAAACTACCCACATGGAAGTATCAGTTCATATTGCTATATCACCATTTATATCACCATCTTTCACCATATTTATCACCATCTTCGATAGATTTGCCTCGATGTTGTTCCCTTTTTTTGAGCTCGAAAAATGGACCTGGAAGAGGCCGCAATTCGGGCTACACGGCTACACGATTTTCAGACAAAGCCTGCCATCATGACCTGAGAGTCTGCCACCAGGATACAAGTTCCAGTGCCAGCACTTTGCAATTCGTCGACTTGGAGTCTTGGCGATGCTACCTGGGTGATCTGGGTGGGTATTTAAAGCACAAACCATGGTGATTTTTTAGCAAGAACATGGCGACTGAATTTCATCAACGAGAGATGATGACATGATTTGAAATAGAGTTTCTGGTTGGTGGTTTGGAACATGAAGTTTATTTTCCATAGTTATGTATATATATATATATACAGTATATATATGGAAACCACCAACCAGGTTGGGATGAAAAACGGAGAAGCTACTGGTGATCATGGTTGGTTTTCAGCTACGGAGATTTGACCTGGATGGGTGAGAAAATTGAGCCAAACTGGCATCTTTTTTGGGAGAGATCACCTGTAAGACGTTGGGAGAGTTCTCCAACTGCTGGAGAATGGTGATATCTACAAGAAGTACAAGAAGTCTTTCACAAAGCGACTGGTGAATGGCACTCGTGACTTTCTGAATGGTTTCATGTTGGTCAGTTTTTGATGAAGCAACTGCTGGAGCTGAAAGTTGACTCTTTTTTGGGGGGGAGGGTCTAAGAGTCATCTATAGGCTAATCATCCCAATAATCATCCCAGTAATCACCCCGTTAATCATCACAATAATTCATCATCCCAGTCTCATCATCCCACTATTATCCAACATGATAAACATCCCAAGAAATGACCAGCTACCGATAGTTGCCATGTTTCAAAACACACCGGGAGGGTAAGCCCTGCAGGATTTGGATGAGTTCCAGATTGGCGGCGTGGTCACTTTCCAGGAACCGCTGGATCTGACTTACGCTACCTGGATTGGTATCTCTGTGGGTCAACATGCAGGGTAGCCTTGGGTAAACTAACATCGATTGACGTTGAAATCAGAAATCCATGGGATTCCCGAAAGGAACATGATCTAAATGATAAGTATGGTGGTTTTCTCGCTATCTATGCTAGTTTACTGAGGGCTCCTGCCGGAATTGGATGATTATGAAATATTACCCTCTGGTAAATTAACATAGACCCTGGCAGTCATCGGGGTTGGAAGACTAGTTTCCATTAAACATTGGCTATTTTCAGGGTCGAACTGTTTATTTTCCAGAGGGTATGATTTTAATCCCAATAAATATCAACAAAGAACTTCCCCCTTTTAACTTAGGCAAAATAGGATGGGTAGAATCCATCCCTCCATCCCCCAAAATAGGATGGTTTATGGGTCTGGGTTTACCACATACAACCCGTGTTTTACTAAAACAACATCACCATGGTGGGAGATTCAGCAACATCACCATGGTGTGCCTGAAAGTTTGTTTTTTTTTGCCTTTTACCAATTATACCACCCAAAATACATTTTCATGAAGACCTGATGAACCATCAGCGAATTTATTTGGTTCTCCGGTAAATTTCAGGTACCGAAGCCATATTTTCCTGGCAATATGTGCGATGGATGCGGCTCCTGGCAGTCACATTCGCTGTGCCTTGCAGTCAACCGACAGGACACACTGCTGGTTCTGCAGGAAGGTTCTCCCGAATCAGCTTTGGTGATTCCACCAAGCCACTGATTTCGTTGTGGGGCTCCATGTGGACAGAAAATGCCTTGGCAAAGCGTTCCAACCTCGCGTAGCAATGCGTGCACATGGCACATGGTCCTTGGTCAATGGGTCAATGATGGTCAATGCCTCTTCTTGCTGGCCATGCTGGCTGGTCTTTGGTACAGTGACAAGTCAGGGCCGTGTGGGCGCAGAACCAAATTCAAATAGACTGCCAATTTGTTTGGGGTTAGAAGATTACTTTCCACGAAAAATCGTGCAGTTGTCAGGTGTTCATCTTCAGGTCTATTGGCTGCTAGTTGTGAATGTTATCCAATCAGATGCAAGGCGGCGCCTGAGTTGGATTATGAACCCACTGAACTAATCTTAACTATATAAAAGATACGTCCCAGAAGTCATATCCTAGTTAGCCTAATTATGTGGCTATGGATCAATACCTATACATACCATTTTTAGGGGGATGAACATCCATTTACCAGCTATTTTGATGTTCACCAGGGGGATAGGGTTTTGACCCATCCCCATGTAACTATATAAAATATCCTAGGTAGCCTAATTCTGCCTAATTCTCAACGAAGTTAAGAAAGTGGAGCACCTGAGAAATCCTCAGGTTGAGTCCTACAAGTTAAAGCTGACCTACAGTCATCCAAGCGTTGCTTGGCGGCAGCGACATAGCTGTGGATCCGTTCCAAGACCATGGGGGGGTCCTAAATTTGGTTATTATCACTGGGAACATCAATGGTTTGGGGTATATGATTTAGGAAACTTCGGGCTTCAAACTCATCACAGAATGAAACCAACTTGTTACTGGCAGGTGGTTTAGTGTTTTTCTTCCTTGGTTTTCAGCCACTGGAGCTTCAACCCCATTTTTTGGGTCATTCAACAGCCGTCCAGATACATCCAGATGTGCGAATCGTGCAGGCATCCTGGCAACAGATTGGCGATTCCTTCACTGCACCTTGGACGATGGATTGGCAGCATCTTCGATGAAGCTGTGAACCATGGTGATTTTCTATAGTGACTATAGTTAAATACCAAATGGTATATATGTGGGTTATGCTACCTGGTTTATGGCCCATTGATCTTGTTTTTTTTTCATTCTCCTATGAAGTGGGAATCCACTTTTAATCCCCTTTAGACAAACCACAAAAAATTGGGCATAATTTTGAGGTTCTCAAGATTGTGGATCTTCTGTTTATTTGTCTTGCGATTGTGTTTATTTACACGCCATTGGGACGTGGGCTGACGCCACCTTGATTGTTGTATATATAATTTATATCATTATATAATATATATAATATATACCTATATATATACACAAACATGTACATCATGTACATCATGTACATCATGTAATTACATCATGTACATCATGTACATCATGTATGTATAATGATATATCAGTTATATCTTATCATGTATGTATAATGTTATATATATATATATATCTATATTAATCTATATCAGTCAAGGCATCCTGAGGCTGCTATGTCATTCTTCTGATCGCTGATCTGAGGGCAACAGCCAAGCGGTGAATGCCGATACCTGGATTGGGGACTTCACGCACTTGTCCGTGTACACCAGGTGGATGGCTGGTGGATGGTTGAAGGAAGGAGCCAGTTGATGACCAACTTGGAAAATGCTTTGGTTACCCTCTGGTTATGTCAAAATAGCTATTGAAAATGACCATTTATAGTGGATTTTCCCATTGAACATGGTGATTTTCCATAGTTTGTTGTATGTTTACCAGAGGGTACCCAAGATTGCCATGGTGATAATTCTGATATTTGATGGTGATATCATGGGGATAATCTGGATTGCCATGTCCCTTCGGGAGAGTCAGGAGTTGGAACGCATGGTCATACCGTCACAGCCTATGATTACAGTACGCAAAAGATACATGTAGATACGTGCTATATCATCACCAGAAGTGATGTGGTATATGTGATGCAATATCTACTCGTATGAAAAAGTCATGAGATATCATGAATCTATGTCATTCTTTATGATTCTATATCATTCTGATCTTTATGTCTGTAACTGTAATCCCAAAACTGTCAAGATCTCAGGTCGACGCGGTTTCTCGCAGTGAAACTGAGTTTTCCATTGCAGGTCCTCCTTGGCTGAGCAGACAACCCCGGGCAGCCTGTTGTTCAACGACACGTGGCTGGGTCGCAAGTGACGGGATAGGTCAAAACCTAGGATTTTCTGATGAACAATGGTGACTTACCCTCTGGTAAACATACAAAAAGCTATTGAACATGGCCATTGATTTCGTGAGTTTTCCCATTAAAAATTGTGATTTTCCATAGTTTTTTTCCCCACATTGACGTGTGGGGTTTTTGTTTTTAGTTCTGTATCCGCTCCTCCTCCTCCTCGTCCTCCTTCCTTCCCGTCCTCCCTCCCTCCCTCCATCACTCACTCTCACTCACTCACTCACTCACACTCACTCACTCACACACACACACACCCACGCACGCACGCACGCACGCACGCACGCACGCACGCACGCACGCACGCACGCACGCACGCACACTCACTCACTCACTCACTCACTCACTCACTCACTCACTCACTCACACACACGCACTCACTCTCACTCACTCACTCACTCACTCACTCACTCACACACACACGCACTCACTCTCACTCACTCACTCACTCACTCACTCACTCACTCACTCACTCACTCACTCACTCACACACACACACGCACTCACTCTCACTCACTCACTCACTCCCTCCCTCCACTCACTCACTCACTCACTCACTCACTCACTCACTCACTCACACACACACTCACTCACTCACTCTCACTCACTCACACTCACTCACTCACTCACTCACACACGCCGCTTTTGCTTGGCAGGCGTGGGACAATGTGCACCGCCAAGGGGTCGGATGTACGCCCTGGCGTCCCTTGGTCTCCGCCTCGTTTGCGTGGCAGGCGTGGGACAATGTGCACTGCCAAGGGGTCGGATGTACGCTCTGGCGTCCCTTGGTCTCCGCCTCTTTTGCGTGGCAGGCGTGGGACAATGTGAGCAGCCAAGGGGTCGGATGTACGCCCTGGCATCCCTTGGTCTCCGCCTCGTTTGCGTGGCAGGCGTGGGACAATGTGCACCGCCAAGGGGTCGGATGTACGCCCTGGCGTCCCTTGGTCTCCGCGTCTTTTGCGTGGCAGGCGTGGGCATTGCCAAGGGCTCGGATGTGCGCCCTGGCGTCCCTTGGTCTGGCGTCGCGGCTTTTGCGTGGCAGGCGTGGGACAATGTGCACTGCCAAGGGGTCGGACGCCCTGGCGTCCCTTGGTCTCCGCCTCTTGCGTGGCAGGCGTGGGACAATGTGCACTGCCAAGGGGTCGGATGTACGCCCTGGCGTCCCTTGGTCTCCGCCTCTTTTGCGTGGCAGGCGTGGGACAATGTGCATTGCCAAGGGCTCGGATGTACGCCCTGGCGTCCCTTGGTCTCCGCGTCTTTTGCGTGGCAGGCGTGGGACAATGTGCACTGCCAAGGGGTCGGATGTACGCCCTGGCGTCCCTTGGTCTCCGCGTCTTTTGCGTGGCAGGCGTGGGCCAATGTGCACCGCCAAGGGGTCGGATGTACGCCCTGGCGTCCCTTGGTCTCCGCGTCTTTTGCGTGGCAGGCGTGGGACAATGTGCATTGCCAAGGGCTCGGATGTACGCCCTGGTGTCCCTTGGTCTCCGCGTCTTTTGCGTGGCAGGCGTGGGACAATGTGCGCCGCCAAGGGGTCGGATGTACGCCCTGGCGTCCCTTGGTCTCCGCGTCTTTTGCGTGGCAGGCGTGGGACAATGTGCATTGCCAAGGGGTCGGATGTACGCCCTGGCGTCCCTTGGGCTCCGCCTCTTTTGCGTGGCAGGCGTGGGAAAATGTGCATTGCCAAGGGGCCGGATGTACGCCCTGGCGTCCCTTGGGCTCCGCCTCTTTTGCGTGGCAGGCGTGGGACAATGTGCACTGCCAAGGGGTCGGCGTCCCTTGGGCTCCGCCCTCTTTTGCGTGGCAGGCGTGGGACAATGTGCACTGCCAAGGGGTCGGATGTACGCCCTGGCGTCCCTTGGTCTCCGCCTGGTTTGCGTGGCAGGCGTGGGACCATGTGCACTGCCAAGGGGTCGGATGTACGCCCTGGCGTCCCTTGGTCTCCGCCTCGTTTGCGTGGCAGGCGTGGGACAATGTGCACCGCCAAGGGGTCGGATGTACGCCCTGGCGTCCCTTGGTCTCCGCCTCTTTTGCGTGGCAGGCGTGGGACAATGTGCATTGCCAAGGGGTCGGATGTACGCCCTGGCGTCCCTTGGTCTCCGCGTCTTTTGCGTGGCAGGCGTGGGACAATGTGCACTGCCAAGGGGTCGGATGTACGCCCTGGCGTCCCTTGGTCTCCGCCTCTTTTGCGTGGCAGGCGTGGGACAATGTGCACTGCCAAGGGGTCGGATGTACGCCCTGGCGTCCCTTGGTCTCCGCGGCTTTTGCGTGGCAGGCGTGGCACAATGTGCATTGCCAAGGGGTCGGATGTACGCCCTGGCGTCCCTTGGTCTCCACGTCTTTTGCGTGGCAGGCGTGGGGCAATGTGCACTGCCAAGGGGTCGGATGTACGCCCTGGCGTCCCTTGGTCTCCGCGTCTTTTGCGTGGCAGGCGTGGGACAATGTGCACCGCCAAGGGGTCGGATGTACGCCCTGGCGTCCCTTGGTCTCCGCCTCTTTTGCGTGGCAGGCGTGGGACAATGTGCACTGCCAAGGGGTTGGATGTACGCCCTGGCGTCCCTTGGTCTCCGCCTCTTTTGCGTGGCAGGGGTGGGACAATGTGCACTGCCAAGGGTCGGACTCACTCACTCACTCACTCACTCACTCACTCACTCACTCACTCACTCACTCACTCACTCACTCACTCACTCACTCACTCACTCACTCACTCACTCACTCACTCACTCACTCACTCACTCACTCACTCACTCACTCACTCACTCACGCACACACGCACACACGCACACACGCACACACGCACACACTCACTCACTCACTCACTCACTCGCTCCCTCGCTCCCTCGCTCCCTCGCTCCCTCGCTCCCTCGCTCCCTCGCTCCCTCGCTCCCTCGCTCCCTCGCTCACCCACTCACTTCACTTCACTTCGCTTCACTTCACTTCGCTTCGCTTCGCTTCGCTTCACTTCACTTCACTTCACTTCACTCACTTCACTCACTCTCACATCCCTCACTCACACACACCACACTCACATCACTCACTCACACTCTCCCTCACTCACTGTACATGAACATACATACATACACACAAACTCACCCACCATCACCGCTCCATCACTCTTATACTTCCTCTTCCCTTCTTGCTCTTCTATGGTCAGTCTAAGTCTAAAGAAGTTGGTAACATGTGGGGTTATCCGGTCCTTTAATGTATGTTTACCAGGCCGGGTAACCATCCAATTTGGTGATAAATTGGGTGAATTGGGATTGTCCATGAACGGTGAAAACCTAGGATTTGCCATGAACGGTGGCTTAAACCATTGTCAACCAACATTGTGATCACATGGTATAGCTATTCATGGGATATTAATGAGATGTACAAGCAACAACAATGGCATATGGGATGGGGGACGAAAGTTATGCTTTTCAACTAAATGGATGGATATGAGGGATGAATCCCCAGCCACACCAGGGATTGATGAAGGGCACCAGGGTCTTGATCTGAATCGATTTCTCTTCAGCATTTAAGTTTAAAGCTTCACAGCTCCAAAGCTCCCAGAATTCTGTAAGGGACACATCTACAGCACCCCCCTCCACGGGTTTCCCCAGTTCCCAAATCAACAGAGGCCATCCCAGGCGGCTGCCGCGCGTCCGACGCGCCGTCCCAGGTCTTCCCCGGTGCAGCAGTTGGAGCTCCAGGACTTGGACCTGGACGCCTTGGAACTGGGAGGTGAACTCAGCTGGCAGGATCCGGTGGATGACAGCTGCTCGAATGGATTTCCCCATGGCGAGACTTCCTGGGGATGTTTATATATTGGAGAAAAATGGAGAAAACTGTAAGATGGATGGTTTTTTTTCGGCCAGGATTTTTTTTTAATGGATCTTCCGATATCTTCCGATGTTGTTTGGTGAAGAGATGAACCTGAGTCTTTGGGGTCCCACTTTACATCTGGGTCAAGCAGCTCCCAACCACCCAATCACCTTAGGCTTGGTACAGAGATATGACTTGTACATCGCCAAAGTCTTGTCGGAGAACCGGAGCTGTATCGAGGCGCGCTAGGGGAAAATCCCGGCAATGGGAAACATGTGAATGCCTGGTTGGTGGTTTGGAACATGAATTTTATTTTTCCATTCAGTTGGGAATAGTCATCATCCCAACTGACGAACTCCATCATTTTTCAGAGAGGTAGGTTGAAACCACCAACCAGATATTAAGATCATTAACCATCAACATCCCATTTTCATGATCTCCCCATGGTTGACGAACTCATATTTTTCAGAGGGGTAGGTATACCAATGACCAACGTCCCATTCTACCTCAATGGCTCCTCCGTCAGGATGGAGCCGAAGTGGTTCCATACGTCTATAGTCACCCGGACAGAACCAGGTGGTTGCCACATGTTGCCACAGGAAAATAGGGATGGGTACCGGAGAGCCATGTGGAAATTTCGAGTCCTTTCACCGCACTTTTTCCGCGATGAAGTCCGTGGTGACTTCGAAAAGATGTACCCCCAAAATCCCATAGTGATAAACCATTTTACTCAAATTGTTTAACCACCACTGAAAAAGTTTCCAAACGCATTGTAAAGTTATGCAAAGTCTTCTTCTTCTTCTTCTTCTTACATTATATCATATAATCTCATGATCTCATACGGTAATCACATTTAAATATGTGGTGGCCGGGCCAGGGCAGTCAGGCTCCGAGGTAGTATGAAATACCAGTTCTGTACGTATGTTTAAATGGTAGGGCCCACTCCGCATGTTTAAAAAATTGCAAACCCACCGGGAATATATGCCAGTAAATGGTCCAAATATATGGTGCTGATGATTTGGAGCACTCTATGAGTCGAGTTGTTAAAGTTAGACCCAAAACAATGGTATGGAGAGCGGCCTGTGGGATTGCTACACAATCATCAGATGGAAATGGTTGACTGTACTATACGATTTTGGCTTTGGAGGAAATTCCTTTCATTAAAAATTCGAACTGGGTGGAAGCGCCTGGCTAGAAATTGCTTGCTTCTCTCTTTCTTGCAAGAAATGTCCTAGGTGGAGTTCCTGGGTGGAAGTTCCTTGCTTCTTGGGTGGAATTCCTAGATGAATTCCCTAGGTGGAATTTCGCGGGTGGTGGTGGAAGTTGCTTGTTTCCCGCTTTCTGCGGAAAAAAAACCTAGGTGGGATTTCTTGGGTGGGGTATCCACCTAGGAAATTTCTCTGCAGAAAGAGGGAAGCCAGCAAAATCCCTTAAATTCCAAAAAAGGAATTCCAAGAAGGAGCAGGAGCACTGCAAGGAACTTCCACCCAGGAAACTCCACCTAAGTAACTTGCAACCAGACAGCGGGAAACTAAGGAATTTCCACTAACAAAACTCCACCCAGGCAAGTTTTGCTGAGGAAGAAAGATGCCAGCAATTTCTAGGCAATTTTTCCCCAAGACAAAGGAAAGCAAGGAATTGCCAGCCAGGATACCCCACCCAAGAAATCCCACCTAGTTATCTTTTCCGCAGAAAGAGGGAAACAAGCAACTTCCACCACCACCCGCAAAATTCCACCTATGGAATTCATCTAGGAATTCCACCCAAGAAGCAGGAACTTCCACCCAGGAACTCCACCTAGGACATTTCTTGCGAGAAAGAGAGAAGCAAGCAATTTCTAGCCACGCGCTTCCACCGAGTTCGAATTTTTCATGAAAGGAATTTCCACCAAAGCCAAAATCGTATAGTACAGTACAACCTCAATACCATAAAAGACAGACTATTGACTAATGCGAAAGCATTTGCCAAGGATGTTTTCATGGAGCAAGAACGAAAGCGAGGGGATCGAAACGGTGGACATTTGCCATTTGCACCAGGTACTGAACTGGTGGAGCGGTCGCCGGCAGCTCCTTTTTCCGTATATTTAAATAGTTAACTTCCATATATTTAAGATGGTTGGCCGGGCCAGGGAAAACCTGCCCGGAGGTAGTATAAAATACCTATTGCATTGTTTAAATATCCGTATATTTAAATGTAGGTACCGTATTTTATTATACTAAATTATATTGTATAATATAATTTCATATTATAACAGTATTCTGTATGCTTTGCTAGCAGATTCAACACTCACTTAAAGTTGTGTCTATGTATAATATATCTATATATAGCAACCCTGAAAAAATGGAACACTTATGTACTACTACTTTACTAAGATGTTTCTTTATATCGTTTCGGGGATTCTTTATGTATAGTAGACACACACACATTTCTATGCTGCCATCCACATGTTGACTGCTTCATGGTAGCATTGAACTCTCCAGTCGACTGGATTCTACTAGATGATACTAGATGGATGTCCCATATCCCTCAGCAATCATACTCCAAATCTCACAAAATGGGCCCTCTGGTACTCCGACGTTCAAATGGAACATCCCTTGAACCCCCGGGTCGGATCCATAGTTCCAGGTATTTGGAGATATCCAGAGGCTATGAATGGGTCCCAACAAAGATGGCAGTTGGATTGGTTGGAAAATTGAAAGAAACTCCCATGATCTTAATGGCAAAAAAACCAATCCGGTGAAGATTTTCCCTACAATCCAATGAAAGATGGCATTTGGGATAAAGGTACCAGATGATCCGCTATCATGCAACTGAACATGAGACATGAAATGACACTTCACATTTTTTTCGCGAGCTCAGAACTGAGAAGGCCCCTTATTTTGTGATGCTTCAGATTGGAGGAACCATCAATATTGTGGCATATTGTGGCCTTGGGGCAAGTGTGGGGGACTTTAAAAAATATAAAACAAAAACACTGAACATGTCGATTTCAATTTCATTAAGCTCCAGCGTTGAAAAGCACAGTCGGACCTTTATTTAACGCACAGCGTTGAGGCAACGAGAGTAATCTCGTGGAAGATGCCACTATGGATAGCGTGCCTTGCCAGCTGGGTTCGGGACTTGATGCTATCCAACATAATTATGGGGAATTACGATATTCCATGATGGTTAACCATGTGAACCCCGGTTCACCTAACAGTATGATGGAACAACAGGGTGAACGTAATACGTCATTTCTGTGTCTTGAAAGACAGCCTGGAAACGTTGGTTTTCCGAAAGCGTGCTCGACTGTTGAGGACTTTCAGTTGGTGTGCCCGCGTCAATACACTCATCTTAATGTGGATCAGCATGGGTGCAACTGCAAGATGACTCAAAGCCTTCGGCTCAAGCTGTGTCTCGGATCGGCCTTTGGCTAGCTGGCTAGCAGCCAATTGAGTTGCAGCCATGCAGATCGTTGTGAAGACACTGACTGGCATGACAATGAGATTCGATGTTCAGCCAACAACCAAAATAAGTGTAGTGCCTTCTATCCCACTCTGTACTCTTTGCGGAGCTGATGGCATTACTGCCGAAAAGATCCAAGGGGAAGCAACTTCAGTGTTGGCAAAGGCTGCAGCTGAGGAAATGTGTCGATTTTGGCATAGCTCCGATGGTTCGGCTGTGAAGCAGTATTTGGAGAAGAAAGTGATCAGTCAGATCAGTCAGCAAAGCTGCTTTGAAGCCAAGAATGAGTCCGTACTCATCCACTCATGTGCCTCCTTAGACGAGTTGCTCATTGAAGCTAGTCGCTTCTTTGTGCTCAAAGCAGTGAACTATGACATTGCGGGGCCAAAGCTTGCGACTGGGGAAGCAGCTAGCAAGGAGGCAAAAGCCACAGCCAGTGCAAGCTGTGATGGAGGAGCCCGCCTCTCACCTAGCTGGGAAGTCGATCAAGTATGGCATGCACTATTGCTCTTCCCACAGATCTACAACCAGCTGTGCATGCGCCTCACGAATGAGATCATTTGCCATGATCCACGCTCCGATGATGAGAATCATGCAGGACGCTACTTGTTCACCTTCAAGCAGTATGCAAAGTTGTTTGGAAAAGGGCCACCATCCCAGTTCTGGCCGCTTCCAAGGAATTGGGAAGAAGACCCAGAGCTTTGCAAGGACGGTTTGAGCCTCAAAGGTATGATAGAGAACAAGGAAGGCATTCCGGTCGACCAACAGAGGCTAATCTTTGCAGGGAAGCAACTGGAGGATGAGCGCTGCCTCCAGGATTACAACATTCAGAGAGGCAGTGAAATTTTCCTTATTGTGAGGTTGAAAGGGTGCTAGTGGTGCTAGACCGCGGATTGACAGTGAAAACATTGAAGCTAGAACAACCCCCTCTTCCTATCAGTGAGCTTTTGTGGATATGGAGCCAATTGCTTGACAGGTGATAGTTGCGTTGTTTGAGCTATTCTGAGCCTGGGCGCAACTAGCTGTCCTGGCTTTTGCACACAATTCAAATTCATCGCAACGTTGTGCTAGTACAGTACGCTCGATGTCATGTCATTTCTTCAGGGAAGTGGGCGTGCTTCAAGATTGCGGCAAGAAAAATGGCTGTGTGCACGCCAAATTTATGGTGACCGGGGACAAAGTTGCCACACATGTTTCAATGCCTGGAGTTTCCGATGGTTCTGGATACCCTGGTTACCTTCCAGTAGACAAACATGGCTACGTTATGCTACGTTAATATAGACATTCATTACTTGTATCTGGTTGGTGGTTTATTTCTAGTCGTTTCACCCGAAGACTTAGCAACTAATAGTTTGCTATCATTGTCACGCTATCCGGTTGGTGGTTTAGAACATGAATTTTATTTTTTCATATATTGGGAATGTCATCATCCCAACTGACTTTCATATTTTTCAGAGGGGTAGGTATACCACCAACCAGTTCATTACCTGTATGATTTGCCATAATTTGGATCTTCCATTACCATGATGTCGGAGGACAATGGACAGTCGTTTGAGCTTTGAAGATCTGCACGTGCGACTGAGGATTCCAACGAGACAAAATTCTGGTCAGCCGTGGCATGAATTGGTGGGGTTGAAAGGCTATGGTGATCCCCTCACCCGGCACATGAACAATGAAGGTCTTTACATATAATATCTAATATATATATTATGTATGTATGTATGTATGTATGTATGTATGTATGTATGTATGTATGTATGTATGTATATATGTATGTATGTATGTATGTATGTATGATATATATATTATGTATGTATGTATGATATATATATATATATTATGTATGTATGTATGATATATATTTATATATATATATATATATATATTTTTTAATGTATGTATGTATGATATATATATATATATATTTTTTTATGTATGTATGAATGATATATATATATATATATTATGTATGTATGTATGATAAGTATATATATATTATGTATGTATGTATGATATATATATATACATATATATGTATGTATGTATGTATGTATGTATGTATGTATGTATGTATGTATGTATGATATATATATTATGTATGTATGTATGTATGATATATATTATGTATGTATGTATGATATATATATATTATGTATGTATGTATGATATAGATATATTATGTATGTATATATGATATATATATATTGTGTATGTATGTATGATATATATATTATGTATGTATATATTATATTTATATATATAATGTATGTATGTATGATATATATATATTTATTATGTATGTATGTATGATATATATATTATGTATGTATGTATGAGAGATATATATATATAGTATGTATGTATGTATGTATGATATATATATATTATGTATGTATGCATGATATATATATATGTTATGTATGTATGTATGTATGTATGTACGTACGTACGTATGTATGTATATATGTATGAATGATATATATATATATAATGTATGTATGTATGATATATATATATATATATTATGTATGTATGTATGATATAGATATATTATGTATGTATATATGATATATATATATATTATGTATGTATGTATGATATATATATATTATGTATGTATATATGATATATATATATCTTGTATGTATGTAAATAATTATATTTATATATACACATAATATGGATAGATATATGATATATAAATATATACATTAATATATAGTATAGGTTATGCATGCTCACAGGAGTGACTCAACCAACTTATCCAGGTCCATCTGGAGGTGCCGTCATTTCGAGCCATCAAAAATTTGAACTGTGTACCATCTGTTTATAAAACATAGCCATGGAAAATGGCCCATTTATAGGTAAAAAAAAACGGGCACATTTAGAGTCAGATCGTCACAATCATATTAAGGATAATTAATATTCTTAAATGGTATCGGTATCAGACTAATTAAGATTCTATGAGACTGTCAAAAATTATTGAGAATAATCTATTTGGTAATCATTAAGATAATCCGTTAAGACCATTCTTGAGAATGTCAAAGATGGTGACACATGTCACATTCCAAAAAGCAAATGCGTTGCCAGGTGCCGCTCTTTCCTGGGCTACGTGCCAGTGAAGACCAGCAACAGGAGATGCGGGTTCCATCGGGAATCTCCTGCGGCGATTGTTTGGTGGCAACTGAATATTCCCAAGCTGGTAACGTGTGTAAAAAACACACATCACGGGGATGAACTGGCGGCATATCCGCAAAGAATTATGACATTGTGGCGAGAACTGAGATAAACTTAGGAGATAACAGTTTAATACAGTTTATATACCATCTGGTTATTGTAACATAGCCATGGAAAATCACTATGTTTAATAGGTGAACCATCTATAAATGGACCATCTATACCATGGCTATGTCAGTCATAACCAGATCATCAGCAGCTCAGCAGGTCGTACATGTAGACTCAGTCATGGGCTCCCTGGAGCCAGGAGTATCGCACCAGAGACGGCAATCAACAGCTGGAGCCACTTCTTAGTCTATTCCAGGTGGACAAATGGGGTTGATCACCCACTTGGGCTTGGAACCTGAAGATGGTGGTCATAGTGGTGCCAATTTTCTGGTGGTTTATGAAACCCTAATAGATGCTTAACAATGCTTAACAAAGCCTTAAGAATTCCCATAATATGTTGAGGGGGATCACCTATTGTATGAATGGTCCCATGAAAAAAGTCCACAGTATCCCCATTATCCATCCTTATTGGCCCACAATTGTTGGCATCCCCAGTGATGTCTGTTGTTTTTTTTCGGCCCCATGAATACTATCGTTGTAATCCCCAAAAAGGCCTAGTTAAGCTATGACTGAACCCCATTTTTGGTGGTTCAGTCATCATTTTCCCATTGTTTTTCCAGGGGTCCTCATCCTGTGTCAGGTCTACGTTGCAAGAAGCCAGCACTCCAACTGCGCATAGGACGCTTTTGACAGAACGGTGGGGGTATAGTTTCGACATGTTTCGGGGGTGACAAAGGTGGGAAAATCAAAATGTAAAACTTTGGTAAACCTCTGCTAATGGTAATCAAACACGGATTTAAGTAGGGGAATGATGATTTAACTCCTAATCCAAACCTTGCTAAGGAAAAAAAACAGGATTATTAAATAGGTCAACTCATCGAGCTGAATCGGCAATGTGCGTAGCTATATGTCCGAAGTTAGCGGAGGTAAGGTAACCTCTCCAGTTTCGGGTGGCTCAAACCAAGATGAATGAAACCACCAAGCACAGGAATCCGCATGGCGCCACTGAAAGACCCCATTTTTTGGAGATGTCCAAAAGACGGGTTATCTCCTCATTCCAGGCGGCATCCGAAAAAAAAACGACGGGTTGAACCAAGGAGGCACAACATCACTGTGGCCGGATCATCCCAGTGTCCAGACTGAGCAACTGATTAACCCTGGTGATGCCCTAAGGCCTAAGGGCCGTCCAGCGTGCATCGAAGCTGGGGCCACTGAAATCTCTGGATTTTTGTTCGTGTGACTTGCAGGTTTGACCCATGCTGTTTAAGAGCAACACCGGAGGATTTGAGCAGATTTGATAGAAGCTCTGTCACTTTGCCGCCCAAACTGACTGAAATGGAAAGCCTCTTCCTCTTCCAAAAAACCATCGACTTCCTGTAGATTTATCGACTTTAGTCCTAAACAATTACCTAATTTAACAACCGCAAATTATCATTATTTAACTCCCAAACTATCCATGTTGGCAATATTTGCATACATTCCAATGTTGTTCACACCCAAATGTTGGACCAGTACTGGTTGAAACATCAAACATGGGGATTTGATTGAACTCCTTAAGCTTATTGGTACACCACCTATTTTAAGGTTCCCCCGTTCCCCATCTTCCGCGTGAGGATTGTTGATCAGGATGCAAGCGCTTCTGCCATCAACTGGATCGGGCAAGATCTAAATTTGGTGCCTGGGATGGATGGGATGGGATTGGGATTGAATTTACCCTCTGGTAAACATACTAAAAACTATGGAAAATCACCATTTTTAATGGGACAACTCACGAAATCAATGGCCATGTTCAATCGCTATGTTTACCAGAGGGTATGAGAGTTTATGGGATTATGTGGGATCATATGGGATTTTGCATGATTTTGCATGAATTTGCATGAATTTGATCACAACCTTGCGTCGCGACGTCGACATGATGGTTAGGTAAGGGGGGGACTATCCAGGTACTTTACCCTTTAAAGTAAAGTAAGACAGCTATATAAAAAATCGCCTGTTCAATCGGGATGGGATGCCATGAGATTCCTGAATCATTGAACAGTGAAAAACATGGGCGACCGAATCTTGGGAGAACCAGCACTTAAAGTAATTTGCTCAGTTTTTTATGCGATTCAACGGAATTAAATGGGACTGCTAAAGTTTGATAAATGGGGTTACTTGAGATTTTCGATAATTTATCCAATTTATCCAGATCTTTGTCATTTGCAGCCAGCTTTCTCTTGTTCACAGGCCATGCATTAGATGGGAATGCTGGGTTCCAAAAAGGCTTTTTGCCATGCATGAGGTGTTGGTGTTGTGGGCTTGGATTGAGACTTGAGTCCCAACCAACGTTAAAACTTCAATGATTCATTTTTTTTCACTAGCGAAGCGCTGGTTAAATCGGCGTGTTCCCCATATGCAAATGATCTTACCATGACAGAAGAGTTAAAAAACTGTTGCTTTAAGACATGGTCCAATGCTCCTGTTCTTCATAAAATCCTCATTCTCATTTTGGCTGATTAAGATGTTGGTTGTGGTTTGGAACATCTTATATTTTTCCATATATTGGGAACAATAATCCCATTTGACTAATCTCATTTTGACTAATCTTCATCTCCATTTCCAGCCCATGTTGAGCCCGAGGACTACCTGGAAGGGAATTTGAGTTGGACTCCACCTGCCCAGCAGACTTCGCTGGAGGGCTATGTGGTCTACCTGGCCAACAGCGCTAGTGGTGTCGCGCGCGTGTGGCTCCTGGGCGAATAAATCGACGGGAGGTGCTCCAGTTCTGCGATGGGGCTGATAAATTTTGGCGGCGGGTGACGCTATGTTTCACACCCAGTATCCAAGTCGGCCGATCCATGTTTTTTTCCCGAAAGGACATCATGGTTTCTTGAGGGTCCAGTGGGAAAATGGAACAAGAATGGCAGGCCATGTTTTCAACGGTAGGATCAAAGATGTGCAGTCCATGTCACATATATTGAATGTGGCATGCGGCATGACTATATATGACATAGATACTGGTCCCGTGTAATGTATGACCTGTAGTAGGAGATCTACGGACCTTCCATGGGGAGCTGTCGGTCCATAGGTTGATGATGACACATCCCATGTTTTTTTTAGGGCTCATGTTTAGGAAAGTCTGGAAAGGAACAAACAAAACTGAAAAACCCTAGAAACAGAATGAAACAGAAAAATGCTCTGATTTTTTTTACTGTACTGCAACTTAGGCACAATCACCATATCATATATATGTTTAATAGGCATATAAATTGTCTAAAGATCATCTATAACTGTGCCATTTTCCATAGCTATGTTAAATTACCAGAGGGTACACATTGTCCTAAAGGTATCCTGAGGTAGAGAGAAATCAGAGACTTCTTGTGGCAGATTGTGGGGAAAGCACCCATTCTACCGTTATCTATCAACTATTAGTGAAATATATTGAAATACGTGTGTTGCATAGTTTCAACTTCAATGTTGTTGTTAGGAATGGCTGAATACGACTGTGTTTCCACTGGCAGTGGGATTAGATCAAATCCTTCAGCCGAAGCCATGCGGGTTTGTCTAGGCATCCGTACAAACCATTCGATTTTTGGGTTTCCCCAATCTATTTGGAGAAACCCAAAAATTGATCTATGAAAGTTATACCCAGCTCGATTGGTTCAGAACTCGTTGGACTGGAAAAACTAGCATTCATCTACTGGGGATTCCGACAAGCCATAGTAGGGAAACCTATCAACCAATCAATACTTGGTATGTGAGCAAGTTTGTGCACAACATCATACTAAGAACGATAGTGAAAAAACTATATTGAATCATAGTACATCTATGTTTAATGATGATTATGAGGATCATGATCTATATTTCCATAGCGAATCATAGTACTTAATGATGATAAGATTAATGATCAAATGGCACATCTATGTTTACCCTCTGGCAAAAAAAAAGCATAGCTATGGAAAAATGATGGGTATCCATAGCTATGTTAGATCTCTAAAGGATACACCACGTATTCGCAACTATTTAGTACCCATAAGAAAATGTGTTTTGCCTCATGATTTGCTGGTAATCTTATCATGTGTTTACTGTATATGTTCTTTGGGTGTATTTGGAGGGTCTAGGTAATAACAAAATTGCACAACATCATAATAAGAAAACGCTAGTGATACTTATCATTGGATCATAGTATTTAAGGATATTTATTGATGGTAAAACCAATAATACAGTTACCATGAAGGGACTTTTTGAGACTCCCCTGGAACCCAGACCCGGTCACCACACGACACAGCCGCACACACACACACACACATTTTTAAATACCAGATAACTCCAAGGCAACCTGCCATTATCCTCTGGTAAACTCACGTAACTATGGAACAATTTTTGAAAGGTAAATCAACTATAAAAGGCCATTTTCAATAGCTATGTAACAAATTACCAGAGGGTATATCCCATTACATCCCATTAGATGAACCATCAAATCACCACCTTCAATGGGTAAATCCACTCTAAACCACCATTTTCAATCGCAAACTGTTGACATAACCAGAGGGTATTGATGATTTTTCATACCCATATGCAACCCATGGTGCTGGTATATTGACCTACATAACTGGGTGAGAATTCTGTTGGCCAGTTTTGTTGGTTGACATAACCAGAGGGTACCATCCCCCACGGTGAAACCAACCGTCCCCAGGATCCGCTACCTGACCGCCCGCATCGTAGCCTCCACCACGACGTCCCCCGATGCCAACGCCAGCGACGATTCGGACAACACGTCCACGGCGGAGTCCGAATTGTCATCGTCCAATGAGCTTCGGCCAGAAAATGGGGAGAAACTCGAGATGGGATATGATGGGATTATAGTGGATTATATAACTTATATATATATGATTATATATATGATTATATGATATTATATAGCAATCAAGAGATTTCAAGAAATTTCTGAAGTTAAGTTCCAATTCTAGAAATTGGTGGACTTTTGGAGCAACCAGGGGTGTTGAAAAATCCGTTGGAGGAGAGCGACAGCAGCGATGGCACCACTACGACAGCGACGGACGAGGCGGATTCCTACGATTTCAGCTATTTCGAGGTGACGCCAAAAGGTGCCCTGGGGCCATGGGAAGGTCGACCCGGTGATTTTTTGGGAAGGTCGAGTCGCTAGTCGCTGGAAATCATATTAGATGATATGAGTACTGGTGACATGTCCGATGTGTTTATGGCTCCAGATCTACCCTCTCAGACTGAATTTGGGGCTGATGGACCTTTTTTGGGTTCAAAGACCTTCTGAGACCGTACTTGGAGCACTAGGGAGTATATGAGATTATATGAAATACAGACCATGGCTATCTTGACAATATGATTTCGCTGTTTAGCTGTGCGAGCCCAGCTAGCATGGCCGGGCCGTTGGTATGGCTACGCAACAGTTTGCCCGTACTGGTACCAGAGAGAAACATGGGGGATAGCGGAGTTTTAACCAGCCACAGATGACAGCTTACCTGGAGTTGATATATGATATATGATATATATACATATATGATATGATATGATATGATATGATATGATATGATATGATAATATATGATATATATATATATATATTATATATATTATATATATATGGCCCCCACTATAAATTGTAAAGTGCAATTCATTGCCACCTTTTTTTTTGAGTTTTGAAGGCCCCAGCCACTGCATCGAAATGGCAAAGCTGACCCCATCGGGCTGCAGGTACCCATTTCATCAGCATCCCAGAAGGCCGCCAGGGGGGAAGGATAGCAGGATTGCTTGTGGCTCAAAGTTAGTATGTAGAGGTTGCACCAGTGTAGCAGTGTATGTAATATTTTAATATCCTTTGTATATACTTACATATTATATTACAATATGCATAGATTATAATTACAGATTCATAGATGCGGGTACGATGATGTGTTTTTTGCAGGCGTAATGTGTGATCACATGCACTCATGATGATAGGAATATGGTTGCATCCTGATTTTAGCAAGATGGATGAAGTAACTCATGTCTTCATGGGGGTTGGTCTCTTTCCTTCATGAAGCCAGCAGTTTGCTTGGATATATGGGATGGTTTTGCAGCACTTTGACTCGCTGTTCTTGGTGGCTTACTGTCATAGCAACGCTGTACGCTGATAATGATTATAATATACTACAATCATTGTTGTTCTTATTGTTGTTCGTATTGTTATTCTCATTGTTATGTAGATGTTCATTGTCAAATCACTATCAGTAGTATTGTGATCATCATCATCCTTGTCATCACTTTCACCACCTCCAACATCATGACAATCTCAACGGATTTCTTTAAGGACAATTGACTTAGGAAACCACGTTCTTCACCTCCAAATCGCGCCAAGGGGGGGGGTCCAAATGTAGATATTTTCCCTTCAACTCAATCGGCTCGGAAAATCCCCGCTGGTATAATGATCATTCCAATAGTAATCACGCAATTAGTATATCATCATCATCATGGTGATAATAGTATATCATAGTATATGATAATAATAGTAATAATAATAATAATCATCATCATCATCAACATCATCATCATCTGGTTGGTGGTTTCAACACAATTACCATTAATCATTGCCATTAATCATCATTAATCACTATTAAACACCATTTATTACCATTTATAACCATCATCATTATCATCATCATCAACAAATCATCAACATCATCAACACTGCTACCATGACCATTCCGCATTTCCTCCGTGAGGCACTGCTGGGAGCTACACGCACTTCCTGGTCTACACCAAGTCCTCCCTGGTCGAGCAGACAACGCCGGTCTTCTTGACCTTGGAGGAGGCGAGTGGGATATGGTTGGATCATGTTGGATGATTATTGGAATGGTTGTTGGGATTACTAATGATCTATGATATGACATATGATTTATAATATGATAGAATCTATAGAATCTTTATTCAATTATATTGCTTGGAAGATTATTGGGATGATGATGGGGATGATTGAACCTATTGCAATGGGAAATCCATCGAACTGCCTGGGGGATTTCCAGCAAGCCATTGTTCGCTGATGATTCTGGGAGAGTAACCAACAAGAAATGGCGATTTCTTAGCAATAAGCGGAATATATAACTGGTTGTAACTGGTTGGTGGTTTGGTTGGAACATGAATGGATTATTTTCCATTTCATATATCGGAGAATCCAACAACCCATTGACGAACTCCATCATTTTTCCATTTGGTTTTCACGTAGCTATGGAAAATCACCACTTTGGAGAGGTAAATCATCATGTTTATCCTCTGTAAATGGTCCATTTTCCATAGCTATGTTAAATAGCCAGAGGGTATAACATATAACCAACCGCAGATATTGCAGATATACCTGGGAATATTGTAATGGTAATATTGGTAATATACATTTGTTGCAAGATGTTGCAAGTCACAAGAAAAAACGAGTGGTTTACTTGAATATACACTACACTATCCGCATGATTGTTGAATCTCTTTGCAGTGCTCGGATGGTGGAATCCAGTAATTCCTGTGGTTAAAACATATTAAAGCATATTAATCAATGTCAATTGGATTAACAAATGTTATTTCATATCAATTAACATTGGATTCCCCCTGTGCCTTTATGTTTGTTGATCATCAATTGGACTAATGTCATTAATTAACATGTTTTTCAAACATTCATATCATTTAATATAAATCCAATTATTCTATAAGCATGATACAGTAAGTTGGATTGGTATGATCATAGTAACATATTAATATCAAAAATTTAATATCAATCCAATGATTATGTTTGCTTCGTTTTTTCTGTTTCTTGGATCCCCCTATGCCTTCATTTTTCTCTCGGATTTCGAACCCTTTCGAACCTGCATGGGGTTTTGGATATCGGATATGGTCCTTATTGGGTTCCGTTTCAGATTTGCTGACCCTGGATGGCTAGTTTACCAATTCATTCTTTCCCATAGAGATATAGAACCCTATTTTTTTGTAGGGTAAGGTTGGCCGTGGATATGAACTCATTTTTATAATATTTACTATCGCCAGCTATCGCCAGCTATGTGTTTCTTTTTCGCCAACTAAGATTGGTCATACATTGGGTAAATTTTGTCGTGCACGTCGTGACCGAACCCTGAAATGATGGAAAGATATGGTTAAACCAGGGGAATCCCCGTAGCCGAACATTTCAGGGTGAAATATTACAATTTACGCAGATGCCATTGATCATTCGCCATAAAAATATCCATTAATCCGGGTAAATTATAACGACCTCACTGCGACCTCACTGGAAATCATGGTTAGTAAGGGAAATCATCCCCAAATGGCCTTCATTCAGGTTAGTGAAATATTATAATTTACCCAGATTAATATATCATTAATATCCAGATCCATTATTATTATAATATTTCTTAACAATTATTCATCAGGATATTTACAAAGAAATCTGGAGGAAACAAACTTCCAGGGCTTTCCCATGACAGGCCAGTGGTCGTTTCGTGGTACCCAGTCTGAGTTTTTCGGACTACGACCTGGATGAGGACCACCAGATGTGCCACCAGATGTTTAAGAGAGATTTTTCTTGGGGAAATGTACAAGGTGGTGCCCCCCAAGTTATAAGTTGGTTTATCCCATTAACTATAGATATATCACCAACAAAAACCATAGTTATTGGAGTTATAAACCAACTTAGCTATCTAGGGGGCACCACCTTGTACCCGGCCTGGAAACGTTTACATAACTATGGAAAGATCCACCATTTTATAGCTGGGAAAATCCACTATTTCTATGGTCATTTTCAATAGCTATGTTAAATTACCAGAGGGTAACCAACAATGGGGATTTAAGATATTAACAATAACAGGGATTTCACAATGATTTTCACAATATTTAACCAACAATTTTCAATTTGACATGGGGATACTGTAGATCTTGAAATGTCAGCCCCTGATTTCACATATTTCACCAAGAATGGGGAGAGAATTCGGATGATGGCATAGGATTTTTATTCTGTCAATGGCATGATGATTTCTTGGGATTTTCAGAAGGGGATTTGAGAAGACTTGGGATATACCCTCTGGTGATTTGGACCATGTATAGATGGTTTACCCATGTTTACCCCGTAAAAAACGTTGATTTTCCATAGCAGTGGGGACAACTAATGGGACTTGGTTGGAACAAAAGAGAACATGGAGTAGCTTTGTTTTTTTTGGAGAATCCCAATTGGAGATCTTTTTAGAAAAGTTTGGAAAGCCGCTCCCCAAAAAAGGGGGTGTCAACCACTGTTGGGCAATCCCCATGAAGATAGTCAGTAAATGAGGGCAATTATGAACCATTGTCGGACAAATGCGTTGGTTTGTATTTGGTGTGGAGAATTCCCAAAGGTCAATTCCTCAATGAGACCTGGTTGGTGGTTTGGAACATGGCTTTCATTTTTCCATATATTGGGAATGTCATCATCCCAAAGTGACTTTCAGATGTTTCAGAGGAGTAGGCTCAACCACCAACCAGAGACTTATTTAAAGTCGCAGTATGTTTCCCCAAAAAAAACATGACAGCAACTCAACACGGCACGTTTGGACGGTCGGAACTTAGTCAGAACCAACAAGTTCTTATAGTACTGTTGTTCATTAATCCTAGCCTGTAACAACCCAGGAAACCGAATGATACCCGAACGTTCTGCAAAATTGGAGGACTTTCAGATGAGTTGAAACACATTTGAACCTAGACCCTCCAAATACCCCCTGAAAATGATACGTTTACAGCAAATTACAGGGTCAAACTGCTTTTTGATGGGTACTTGGAGGCAGTATGAGTTACAGCAGCAATTTGTTCAAATGATGGTTAATTAGTAAGGGGTAACTATCCCAACATATTTAAGCGAACAATGGGCCATATATGAAATTTAAGCCAGAACAATGGGTCATATATCAAGCGACATCAAGATCCAACAATCAAAAAAACACGAAGGCTGTGGGACTGCTATCTCCTGAACGCGTTTCATGATTTTTGTTGTTTCCAGGTTTAAATCAGTTTCTATCAATGAGGTATAACATGCCAAAAAAAACAGGACAGCATTTTTTGTAAAAGTCACTGGATTGGTTTAAGGGAAAATCTACAGGAAATCATCATGTTGCCTATCTAATAGAGGGGTTTCCTGTAGATTTTCCCTTACCCTCTGGTTATTTAACATAGCCATGGAAAATCACAATTTTTAATAGGTAAACCATCTATTTCTATGGTGATTTTCCATGGCTATGTTAAATAACCAGATGGTAATCCAATCCAATGAAAAATGCGTAGTTTCTCGCAGCTGCTTTCGTTGTTTTCCCAGGAGCAACTGGGAGGTACCATGACCTGGATCCCTCCACCAGCTGGGCAGCCCAGGAGGACCCAGATAGGACATGATGGGACCGTTCGGCCTGGATAGCGATGGCTAGGGGTAGCTGGGTAATAATCCCATTCAATAGCCTTTCTATACCATTTATACCTGATTGTTATCCATATACTTGGTAAAACACATCGGCTTGATGTAGTGTTTCTTGATGCGTTTTGTATTGTACTGAATAGTAATAGTATGATATAGTATTGACGGTTATTTGAAATGTGGAAAGCCAAGTGTATTTAAAACACTTTAAAACACATCTAGAAATACAGTACCTGTACTTGGTTTTGAATGTTCCTTAATAATCCCGAGAGACTTTGGGGATGGGTTGAAATCTCCAGCTCCTATGGAGGTTATGAAGAGATGTAAATAATTTTGCTGTAGATGGAAGATTCACCAAAAATAGTCCTGTATTATGTTTTTGCTTCAAGATTCACCAAATATGTATATACATATATATATAGTATATATACATACATATACATATTTATATATGTATCGTATTTTTCCGATTTTTTTTGCATGATGATTTTGGGACCGGCATGGTCTACCTTCAATAAATCTTCTGTCCGCGCTGAGGTCATTGGGGAAATCATGACCTATGAGCAGCCTGGATGCAACGGGTGGACAACGAATATGGAGGTTTCCTAAAGTCACGGGGGTACCCCACAATGAATGTTGTTTTGGATGGAAAATCCCATGTACCCCGAGAAAATGGACAATTTTTAATGAACACATCCTATTTGGCAGGGTCCATGTTAAATTACCAGAGGGTATTTGTACACCAAACCTATGGTTGTTGCCTCAAAACATGCAGATGGCTGATGGTTGTTGCCTCAGAAAAAACTGGCAGGTGACCAAACCTATTGCAATAGAAACTCCCTCCTTTTTTGGAAGGGTTAGTCACGGGTTAGTCCACATAACTTGCAAATCCCAAAGATCTGATCCTTTCCCCCTATGACATCTCCATCAGAAGCGCTAAGATATGGTACATCTGGGATTCCCAAGGAGATCACCCAGCCACCAGGATCTATTTGGGCATTGCGGACGATCAAAATCGCAGCATCAATCGCACGTTGTTGGTGTCGGTGCCCTACGACCAGTTCATCTACCAGGTGGGAAGCCTTGCCCATGGCTATCCGAGATTTTGGAGGCTGAGTAGATATGCTTCAAGTATATGTTCAAGTACTTTGGGAAAACCCCGGGTTTTCAGGGTTTTCCCCCTTATTTCTGAATCGGGACTTTAGGTAGCCCTAATATATACTGTACGCGTTGGGTACCTGAAACCATCAATCTCATTGGGTAACTCCCAGTTGCGCAGGCAGCATGCCACATAGAGAGTGAAGAGATGTTGGTAAGCACGGGTACGAGCCGATCATCAGGGAGCATTGCTTTAGCTTTGGGGATATCCTATAAGCATGCCTAGTGGAACGACCAGACAGAAACCCCAACTGGGAATAGTTTATAGTTGGCCCCCAACCTGGGCATTTATGACCCCCCAAATCATCCATCGCAACAGGATGTTCGATTGTAAACCATCCCATTTTACCTCCATTTTATGGAAGACCCCATATATTACTTACCCTCTGATAATTTGTTACATAGCTATTGAAAATTGCCATAGAAATAGTTGATTTACCCAGCTATAAAATGGTGGATCTTTCCATAATTTTTTGTATGTTTACCAGGCCGGGTATGTGGGATGTTCATCCATCACTTGGACTCGGCTTGGTCGGCGACTGGAGGTTCCTGTGGATACCGACACCAATGTCTCTTGGCTGCTGAACTCCTCAACGGCTGGTCATTTTCCCAGTGCTTCCAAGGAATTGACCCATAACCTCATGAACTATCTAGATTTACCATAAACCCAACTGTCACTATACTGGTTATATCTGGTTATAAACCAACACCATGAATCACCTTACAAAATCTTACAAATATCTCTAGTCATCGCCATGGTTCCCTCAAATCACCATAGAAATCCGGTGGATTTTCTCGCCAGTTTTGACCAAGGAGTCCACGCATTTGTTGATCCACACCGCCTCGGCAACTGTGGAACACCGCACTGCCGCGGTCTTCGAGTTCTTCGATGCCACTGCCAGCGTCTCAGGCGCGATGATGGAAGGAATGGAAAGGGATGAAGGAATGGAGATGGGGGAGATGGAAAAAGGAGGGAAACATGAGGTGTATATATTATATATATTGTATATATTATATATATTGTATATATTATAGATACAAACATTCTACCAAGCATGCATTGAATCTTTCATGATGTTTCATCAACAGAAAGCAGAAAACGAGTACGAAAGGACTACTTTACATGGAGATTTCAATGCGATGGCTGCGGACTGGGACGCCGGTTGAATTCATGATGGGATCATCACAGGGGATAGCCATCAATGGAATGGGAGAAGGGTGGGATGATGATCCATCTTAGAAATTATAATGGCTGGTTGGTGGTGACTGGAACATGACTGGATTATAATTTTCCCATCATATTGGGAATAGTCATCCCAACTGACGAACTCCATCATTTTTCAGAGGGCTAGGTTGAAACCACCAACCAGTCATAATTGTAGCATTACTGGGAATAGACAATGGCATATGGGGATTCAATGAGGCTCTCAATGATGTCAGGAAATGAGATTCAACTTAGGTGTGCAAGCAGCAAAGAGTGGGATAGTTCACTAGTAACCAACAAACACCAACAAAAATTGGGACAACATTGGGATTGGGAGACATGCACTGGTGGACCAGTGAAGTCGTTCTTCTTTGCACAGAAAACTCGCTGGATCATATATCCTTGTTTGTTCGTCCAAATATCCATTTCTGTTGCTCAGATATCATTTTCTGCTGGCTAAGTCGGCCAAGTATTCATGTTGAGTTTAACTGCTCAGCTTTGTCTGAAGATTGGGTACCCCTAAATCCGTTGACTTATCATGTCCCATTAAAAAATATCATTTGGGGGTATACTCCATTTTCAAACAGACTCAAAACCTTTTTTGCTGGTCACAACTCCAAGATATGTTAAAGTCGCTACATATCTCCCAAGATATTCCCATTGATATCTCAAAATATATGTTGAAATCATTGACTATTCACTCCTCGTTGAATCCCCACCAAATGCTAGCAAATCTGCATTTTTGATCGTCAAAAATCACCATTCCACACCATTACGATCCCATGAATTTCCATGAATATCCCATTAAAATGTTGAATTTCCTGTCATGTTCCAATGATGTTCCCATGAAATCATGGCGATTTATCGCCATTAAATCCCATGTTTTATGGTGAAATCCCATGATAATCACATATTTGATGGTGAATTTCCCATCATCTTCCCATTGACGCTCCATAAATCACCATGAAATTCCACGACATTCCATTTTTCAAAAAATCCCAATCCTCCAATGTTTCAATCATCAAATCAATCAAATCCCCCAGCAAAATCCGGGGAAATCGCCATGTTTCCCCCAAAAATCTCAGCATTTCCCAGGCGTCAGATTTACCGACCTGGATTTGGACGAAGATCAGCTGGGCGGAATCTTCTCCTGGACTCCACCCGCTGTGCCGGACCGGGTGGAGGTGGGGATTCAGCATTTCGGGAAAAAATTGCAGGGAGTTCATGAGGATTTCATGGGGATTTATGGAGATTTCTAGGGATTTTATGGGGATGTCATGGAACTTTATAGGGATTTATGGGCATTTAATGGGGATCTATGGGGATTGAATAGATATGGGCACTTCCGTCTGTTGGCTGCCCCTCTGACAAACAAGATGCACCCCCAAAAAAATGAAAAAAAAACAACATCATTGGATTGAAATATGTTTTTGATTAATCAGATACATCTCCACAAGCTTAATGGGACCATACCACCAATATGGGACCCATTACTGATGAATAATTACTGAAGATCCAACTCCAAAAAATTGTTTTTTTTTTGGGGGTCTTCAATATCAGGAGGATGTGATAAATCCCCAACTTACCATCCGTGAATGACACGGCTGGGAAGATCAGCCAACGGCAGGTCTACCAGATCTTCTTTAGCGCATCTGGGCGAGTTCAGCAACAAGACTGGCTAGGGCTGGTGGATGCCATGATCATTTCCCATTGGTTTAAGGGAAAATCTGTAGGGAAACCCTAATATGTGGGGGGTTCAAAACGTGCTTTCCTGTTGATGTTCCTATATATATTTCCTTTTGATCAATCCGTTGATAATTTAACCATAGTTAACCTACAAAACGCTGGATTTGGCAATATGTTCACTGTTTTTCCATCTTTTTTCGGTAGCGTTTGCGAAAAAACGATCTGACTTTTCTGGAATTTATGGCGCGCCATCGTCCTACAACCCCACTTCATGAAACGCAGGAAGAGGTGCAGCAGGACTTTGGAAGGTGACTTTTCTAACGTCACCACGGCCTTACCAACGATTATGGTTAAGGTTCTTGGAGGAATCTTTCATCATCTTTCCAGGATCACCCAACATTTCAGGTGAAATATTACAATTCATCTAGAAACATGCCAATACTGGTTGGTGGTTTGGAACATTTTTTATTTTCCATAATATATGGGATCATCCTTCCCGTTGACGAACTCATATTTTTCAAGATGGTTATTGCACCACCGGCACCACCAACCAGGTAATGATGTACATCTGCTCTGGGTTTGATAGTTTGTTCATGTTTTTTCCATGAATAAGCTAGATGATTTGTTCAATTGTAATGCTTTTGTTCATGTTTTTTCAATCATTAACCATTATTAACCATAGATTAACCATAGATTAACCATAGGTAGATGATGTGCTCTTGGTATTTTCTGAAGTCTTGGATCGTTTCTCGCCCTGTCACAACGATCGTTTCAAGACATCGCCGTGAAAATGACGGTTGATTGCTACAGCTCCGCCATGGTCAAGGATGGATGGTTTTTCTTGGGGGAGGGTCATCAATTCACTAGGGAAAAAAGGGATTCTTTTTCATCCATTGTAAGGATTCCAACGGATGGGATGACCATAAACCATTCATGGAGGAATATTGGAGGATGATCATTAATAGCCTCCGGTTTTTTCAAGCACGGCAATGGATCAATGGATCATAAATCTTATGTGTATAGCTGGGAAATGCCCAGAAACCTTCAGGTCGGGGATGTCCCTAGCCATGTTTGATTGCCGGAGGGTACCATGTGTTGACCATGAGGCACATATTATCCCATGACGGATCCATGGTGCTGGTATATGGCTGCTAACATAAAGGGGGTATATTGATGATATTGATGGGATCCATGGAGCACCATATATAGCAGCACCATGAATCCGTCATGGGCATGTTGAAACATGTGATGTTGGTACCTCATGGTTTCCGGCTCAACGCTCAACTCCGTTGCAAGGGCCCAACGTGTTCCAAGATTCCAAGGACAGTGCAGCGGGCTCACAGCTGTGGCAGTTGGGAAACGACCTGCCGCGAGGCAGGTGATACGGTGAGTTTAAGAAGTTGGAGCGGAGATTTAATCCACAGTAAACCGGATCTACCCGGCCTGGTAAACGTAGCCACATAACTATGGAAAGATCCACCATTTTTAATAGGACAACTCACGAACTATAAATGGCCATTTTCAATAGCTTTTTGTATGTTTACCAGAGGGTAGATCCCATTAATATCCCATTGAATCACTATAAATCCCATTAATATCCCATTAAATCACTATAAATCCCATTAAATCACTATAAATCCCATTAATGGTTAGTTTACCAGATGGTTAAGCAACAGGGCATGGCAGATTTCAGCAGATTTCACAACCTCGAGGCATCCATGCGGTCGCCTTGTCGAACACGGAGCGCAGGACTGCCATGATGCAGGCTGTCCCAATGTGTTTCTATGATTTTATGGGGATATCTTGGGAATTCTTGGGAATTCTTGGGATATCTTGGGATATTTTTGGGGATTTAACATGATTTAGCCAATTATAACTAACCATTATAGTGGAACTAACATGGGCATATCATGGCATACATGACCAACAATAGTTGGGCGTGGCTGAAAATTGGTGAACATGAGGTATACCTCCATTTTGCGGCATTGTTTGTCCACGGGAAAATGGTGGTTCATCCACACCCCATTTGGTTAGGGAAAACCTCCAAGATTGGGGATATTTTTTAAAGCAAGAATGGGTATGGTACGGATAGAGATGTCCCTCAAAATCTAAGGGCTGAAACATGCTGAAACCTGATTTGTGGCCAAATTCCTATGGGGAAATGATCTTCCACTGCCTACGTTTAGGGTTCTGGATGTCAGCCATGAGGGTATTGCCCGGCCTCGACTGGCAATATCTGGCAGCCTCAACAGAGAAGTGGTAAAAATGGGAGAATGAAATCCCTCATAGGAGGCAGGGACCATGAATCATGCAAATCCTTGAGACAATTCCCACTAAATGACGTGTAAAAACACCTGAGTTCAACGGTGGCAATTTCCCCAGCAGGAACCATTGAAACTAGTCAGCCATGGCATGGCTTTGTATCACCAGACTGCCAGGAGTGGCAGTACTCATTTGGTGGTCTATACCAAGTCCGCTTTAGCCCGGCAAAGCACTCCGGTTCCTGGGCTGACTCGGGAAGAGACTGGGATGAAGAGATGTGCTGATCCAAGAGAACCCACATTATCTAAGATTGGCAATGTTGGTATCACAGCAATGAGACAAGTTGATTGGATCTGTCCACTTATAGAATATTAGAGCTATTAGAGAATATCCATTATAGAGTTGTTAGGGAATATCAAGTATTAAAATATAGAGAATTATATTACCACAAATGACTATTATATAATATAGAATTATAGTATGACATTTGTTAGATAATATTATATATATATATTATCATAATATGAAATAATATGACGTAGTTGACAAAGAGTTGGAACTCTTTCCGGGACACTGAATTTGATCATCAGCTGCTGGCAAGCCATGCAGATGTGATGTCCAAGTCCTCCATTTGTAATCGATTAACATGATCATATTGAATCATCTTGGTATATTTTTTTTAATATAGTTTATATCTATCAGTCTATCATATAGCTTATATTATATATTATATGATGTATGTATGTATATATATATATTATAATATACATGATAGATATATTATATATGATATATATACTGTATATATATATAATTTACCATATATGATACTTGGTAAAACCTCCGCATTTTCCGATGCTGCGTTGCTGAGGCGAGCCTCCTGATTAGCGACACCGTCGCCAGCGTGGCGAACATTTCCTTCCCGGATGAGGCCAGGAGATGGCCCGTTTCCTTCCCAGGAGTTTGTCCAACATCATCCAGAATTGATGATCTTTGGCGATTTTTGGTGATTGTTGATGATGTTTGATGATGTTTGAAGAAGCTTGATGCTGTTTGATGATCTGAAAAATATATGTTTGATGATTGTTGATGATCTTTGATGATTTGTTGATGGAGAAACCAATGGTTTTGTTGGGTCCATTTTAGGCAACCTCCATATGTTGGATTTGAGCTATGGGGATTGAGATCTTACATACCAACCATTGTCTGGGATTTCACAAGAAGTTGGATTTGACCAACACACTTATTGGGACTTGAGAAATGGATTTGACCATCAAACATCTAAAAAACGGATTTACCCTCTGGTTATGACTAACATATCCATGGAAAATGGCCCATAGAAATAGATGGTTTACCTATTAAACATGGTGATTTTCCATGGCGAACTGTTAGTCATAACCAGATGGTACATGGATCTACTACCCCGGCAAAAAACAGGTCCCCATTCACTGGGTTATCCCATCAAAAAAAATGGCTTATAACCAGGGTTATGAAATTCACCAGTTAACTGGTTAATCCCACTGGTTAACCCAGTTAACTGGTTAGTCATGGTTAGTCCCACTGGTTTATGAAATTAACCCAGTAGCATTTATGAAATAACCACGGTTATGAATGGCTTATCCCAGTTACTAAGTGGGACTATTCTTCCAGCCTTTCAGCCAACTTTCAATGGGCTCGATGGGGGATGGCCATACACTTATTTATTGGCTGTTGTGCCCTCTGGTGATCAAACGTTGCACTTGAAAATCCGCTGATTATAAGAATGCTTTTAATATGTTTTACTAGAACTACATTCTGTGATTTTCCAGCAAACCACCATGACACTCTTGATTTTCCCATGAAAGAACCATGATTTATTGCCATAACCATATTATAACCATCATTAGTTCTCTGATTTTCCCCCCAAAAAAATTGGAAGAACCAGAAGTTACCTCTGGATCCAGGACTTGGATGCCAGCGAGATTGGTGGCTTGCTGTCCTGGACGCTACCAGAAGAGGTGACCTATGTCACGGAGTACAGGCCGTGGCCCCGTGGCGGTGCCATTTTCGGGCTGTCTTTTGATTGAAACCATGGGGATGGTTAGGATAGTTGATACTTGATGATAGTTGATGATACTTGATGATACTTGATGATAGTTGATGATAGTTGATGATAGTTGATGATAGTTGTTGATAGTTGTTGATAGTTGATGATAGTTGTTGATAGTTGATGATAGTTGATGATAGTTGTTGATAGTTGATGATAGTTGTTGATAGTTGTTGATAGTTGATGATAGTTGTTGATAGTTGATGATAGTTGATGATAGTTGTTGATAGTTGATGATAGTTGTTGATAGTTGATGATAGTTGTTGATAGTTGATAGTTGATGATAGTTGTTGATAGTTGATGATAGTTGTTGATAGTTGATGATAGTTGTTGATAGTTGATAGTTGATGAGTTGTTGATAGTTGATGATAGTTGATGATAGTTGTTGATAGTTGATGATAGTTGTTGATAGTTGATGATAGTTGATGATAGTTGATGATAGATAGTTGATGATAGTTGTTGATAGTTGATGAGGTTGTTGTTGATAGTTGATGATAGTTGTTGATAGTTGTTGATAGTTGATGATAGTTGTTGATAGTTGATGATAGTTGATGATAGTTGATGATAGTTGTTGATAGTTGATGATAGTTGATGATAATTGTTGATAGTTGATGATAGTTGATGATAGTTGATGATAGTTGTTGATAGTTGTTGATAGTTGATGATAGTTGTTGATAGTTGATGATAGTTGTTGATAGTTGTTGATAGTTGATGATAGTTGTTGATAGTTGATAATAGTTGTTGATAGTTGATGATAGTTGATGATAGTTGATGATAGTTGTTGATAGTTGTTGATAGTTGATGATAGTTGTTGATAGTTGATGATAGTTGTTGATAGTTGATGATAGTTGTTGATAGTTGATGATAGTTGTTGATAGTTGATGATAGTTGTTGATAGTTGTTGATAGTTGATGATAGTTGATGATAGTTGTTGATAGTTGATGATAGTTGATGATAGTTGTTGATAGTTGATGATAGTTGTTGATAGTTGATGATAGTTGATGATAGTTGTTGATAGTTGATGATAGTTGATGATAGTTGATGATAGTTGATGATAGTTGATGATAGTTGATGATAGTTGATAGTTGATAGTTGATAGTTGATGCAGATGATATATGGGAGTCATTCTGAAGGGCCTTGTTTGAGCGTTTTTAATTGCCATGGCCGCTGGGTTTCAACATGAGACCTCGCGATTTTTTTTCTGAGTTCGTGAAAGTAACTTATTTTTTGACGAAGGATTTAGCGACATATTTTAACATGAGACCCCAGCGAAAGATAAAGGAATTTAGAAGAATGGCCGTTTGCAGATAAAGGAATTTAGAACAACCACCATATATCTTACTATACGTCGTATAGTTGATGTTGATATACATATATACATGGATATACTATGGTGTCAAATGCTGCTAGTATAGTCCATATAGAAATATACCATATATATATATATGTATTATGATATATACATAGTAATATCTTACTGGGTATAGTAATGATGATATAGTTGGTTTGTCTGAGAACACAACCAGTTCCAGAGGTCACATGGTGATAATCCTTTTTTTTCTAGAATAATTAATATACTTTAATATGTATATGTATATAATAATTAAACAAATAAACATAAATTAAATAAATAAATAAATATATATATATATATATATCCTATACACGAAACATAATTATTTGGTACCCTAATCCAAAGTAGTTTTTTACATGGTTTTTGTTCCCCATTTTGAGACACACCCATGTGGCTGTACAAGCAATCCACAAGACTTGGACTTTGTCAGAGTTCTTGAGGATGGACGTTGGACTTGATCGTCTTAAGAAAGTTATCATTCACAATGGGATTTCATGAGATTTTGGTGAGATTTTGTTGGGATTTCATGGGATTTCATGGGATTTCATGGGATTTCATGGCTTCACAGTGTTTCAGTTTCTTACACTCGGTGCCTCTCGGTCTGATCTGGTGATCTGCCCCGTGGGTCTTAAGCCATTTAAGCCATACCAGACCTGCGGGGCCTGGCGCAGGATCTATTTCGTCTCTCGCGTTCCGGAGGTTGACATTGAATATCGCCGGATTCCATTCCTCACCAGATACTCTCTTGAGAGATTTGGGCCCTGCAGCGAGGATCATGGTGTTTGAAATTCAAAGAAACTTGGGGGTGCAGTTGGGGCTCTGGGTATACAAAAAACCCCAAGAAGTAGGGATTTTTTAGCCCTATGACAATGATTGTATATCCACTGAGGACCCCCTAGCTGCACCCCCAGGAATCGCATAGCCACTGCACCCCATGAGGTATGAATGAATCAAGAATCCTCATGAGGAATAGGCTGAGGAAGGGGAACAAGCGTGGTGAGTCCCAATTCTCATGTGCCCCTAGAAGTAGTGTAAGAAAATGCCGCCCAATTGCTACCCTGACCCCCAAGACGTCCAGATAGGCAGTGGTTAGGGGATCAGTTGGGATCCCTAGTCTCTGAGTCATGAAGCAGTATAACATAGTATACCTTTGAAAATACTTGGCTGAAGAACAGTAATTCCTTTCCCAACATATTAAGCACCCCTCATAAACCTATAGATTTACATGGTCTTACATACATTTGGGTGTTGCATATTAGAAGGATGGGATTATTCTTGAACTTTGTGGAAAGTTCCTGAATGTCTGGTGAAGAACGGGGTCAACTACTAGCTGCAAGGGCTGATTGGTGCTTTCAAGTGACTGGGTTCCAGCACTGCTGCGCTAAGGGCAACTGATGAGCGAAGATGAAGCCAGAAGCCGAGCTATTGGGGAAGGAGTGAAGAAGGAGTGGAACCCAACAGAACGAACCGCATGAACATAGACAAAAAGATGAAAAGAATGAAAAGAGACCAAAGTAACTCGAAAACAGGGTAGATGCCAATGCTTTTAGTAATCAAGCTATAATAACTGAGTCAGTTGAATGAACATAATGGCGTTTTAGTACCTGATAATCATGACCATAAACGATAATCATGGCCTTTTAGTATCTGATAATTCATGACAATAACTGATAATCATGGCTTTTTAGTAACTGAATTATAAGTGAGGAAAACTAGAACTCATGATAACAATAATGACCATAGTGATGCTGATAATATTTGTTCATGATATCAACCTTTATGACAATTATAATACACTATAATGATCATCAGTTGCAAGGGGGTATGCTCTGTAGGGGTGTCTTATTTCCCCAAAAATAAGGATAACACCATAATTTCTATCAATTTCTATAATTGTTGGAATAGATTGGAACAACAATGATTCTTTGTAACAGTCATTATCAATCATCATAACAGTCATAGCAAATATATCAGTTACAATAGTTATAACATATACATCAGTTATAACGTATCCACACAATGTCTGAGGATAGCGACCGGATAGCCATCGCTAAGGTCAACGCGAGCATGGCCAACTCTACCGAGGACAGAGATGGACAGTTTTTGAGATTTAAGTGGCTGAATACATGGTAAATCATCATTAAATCCAAGTATGATTTTGTTGATCAATTCCAAATATGGTTGAATATGGTTAGATCATGTTAAATCTAATTTTCTTGCTAGATTCCAATGGAGAAATCCCAACCTAGATGCGAAAAAAGAGATCTCACCCGTTGATCGACAGGACAGCGACGCCGGTAGCGAGGCTGCCAGCGTCAATGCGTCCGGCGTCAATGTGAGCATCACAGAAGATCCAGTCAGCGCTGTGACTTGGGATGCAGAAATGGGGGCATTTCAACCAGGGATTTTCATGGGATTTGTTGGGATTTACCATCTGGTTATGACTAACATAGCCATGGTATAGATTGCCCATTTTCATGGGATTTGTCTGAAAATGTTGGGTTAATCTTCCCAATGAAATAGCCATTTAAAAACGGGATAATGATCAGCAAAACCATTGGGTTTAAAGGGGTACACTATTTTCAGACACACACTCATGGGATTTGTTGGGATTTAACCAGACAAGGCCTGGGGATTCAAGAATTTTTAATGGGAATGTCATGATAGCATGGGAATGTCACATGTTGAAATTCAGCAGGAACATCAACTTCCAGACCCAGGTTTTCAGGCTGCCACCAGACATGTAGATTTATATAACTTCGCCCACAATAATATGCAATAATGAGGATTTCAACTAAACCAAATGCGGCAAAACAGCAATTATTAAACCAAGAATCACATGAATCACTCATGGGACTGATGGGTTATTACGGAATGATCCAACTTAGCTTCGTTCGATAACTTGGGGGGGCGCAATCCTTATTTTTGGACCCATGAACTGATGCTGGGCCACTTTGACTATCCATGATTTGGATGATTTAACAACTAATTTAAGTATCAAACATGTTCATTATTTAAGCATTATTTAACCATCCCCGTCTTGAAAGTTAGACTCTTCCTTGAGTGAACAGACTACTAAACCAGGTGTCCATTTGTTTCATGTTTCGTACCAAAAAGGATTGAAACGTAATTTATTACCAATATTTCAGTGGGAATTTCCAATCTTTTCGGGTTTGTTTGGGGGGTGCTATAGCCATTAGAATCGCCTGCGAGGTGGTGACCACCTCGATGATGTTTTACCTCAGCAACGTCACCGCCACGCAGATCCGATTGGCTTTGGAGGTGGGAAGCTGGTGCAACCGGGTGCTTGGCCATTGATATTGGGGGATGGCAAAATGCCAAGCGTCCATGGTGATACTCTTCTGGTTGGTGGCTTGGAACATTTTTTTTTTCCATTTCATATATGGGATGTCATCCTTCCCATTGACTAATATTTTTCAAGATGGTTAAAACCACCAACCAGTCTTGTGTGGTTGAATAATGTTGAATATTGATGAACATTGGCTTTACCATAAGTATGATACTTGAATGTTCTGCCACACCTGGGGTCATAAACTACCCGGCTTTCTTTGAATTTGGGTTCTGTAGGTGACATTTTCCGAGCCATGGCAGATTACCATTGAATTGGTGCATCATCGAAGTAAATGGGCCCTTGAAAAAACCATAGCTATGTCGAATTACCGGAGGGTAACTATGAGATATGTTAAACGTTATGCTATAGATATGATATGTACGATATTCTACATTACCAGTATTAATTAAGTATTGATCATGAGTAATACTTAATTATCAATACTACTTGTATGATAATGTATGATATGTATCATTTATATAACTTATATAACTTTCTATAGTATGATATGATACATCATATAAGCATAGTGTGATAGTATGGTTTAATATAGATAGATAGTTATAGTTAACCATATACAATACTTATATAACTATCATATTAACCATTGCAGTGAGTCCAGTTCTTCAGCGACTGCGTCGCCTCAGTTCATCACAGGCCACCCTGCAGAGGGTCCTCTTCCTGACGCCCTCGGCCATGCTGGTGGAAGTCACCGAGGCCGGAGCGAAAGGATTCCGATGGGTTTTCGGGGGCCTTTTTACCATGTCAACCATGGTTTAGTAGGGAATTTCCACAGAATTGGACCATAGAAATGGGGTGTTTAATATTAGGGTGATGGGATTAATTATTGATTTTTACCATGTCTACAAGGTGGTGCCCCCTAGATAGCTAAGTTGGTGCAAATAACTCCCATTTCACTATGGCTTTTGTTGGTGATATATCGAACTAGTTAATGGGATTATAAACCAACTTATAACTTGGGGGGCACCACCTTGTAATAAGGAGGGAAAATATCAAGCAACCACAATGGTGATTTATGAAACAAATGGTTATTAGAACAATAACAATGGTTATTATAACAATGGTTATTATAACTATTGATTATCCTAATAGTTGTAATAGTTATAAATAGTATAGTTATGAAAACTAACTATGAACTATTTACTACTGGTTGGTGTTTTTTTTTTGGAACATGAGTTTTATTTTCCATTTCATACATGGGATGTCATCCTTCCTATTGTCGAACTCATATTTTTCCAAGATGGTTCAAACCACCAACCAGATAAGTAATGGTTCATATAAATAGTAATGGTTCATATAACCATATGGTTTATAAAACATGTCCTCTTTTTTGCAACCAATGGTTTATATAACTTACTTATGATTGAACAATGGTTTAACATATATAGACTATTTATAGGAACTTATGTTTTAGCTTAATTGATCTAACGCTTTGATAAACATATGATTGACTGAACCACTTGATCAATGAAGACACATTCAATCTACTGTTTTTTCTTTCATAGATATCTGGGATATCAGCAACGACCCATTGATATTCTCCTATTTAAAACAAGTAGATATCACCAATGGCAATGGAGCAAAGCTAGGAAAAGATAGAACAGGTTCCTGGTTGGTGGTTTGGAACATGAATTTTATTTTTTCCATATATTGGGAGTAATCATCATCCCAACTGACCAAATCATATTTTTCAGAGGGGTAGGTGGTTGGTGGTGGCTGGAACCATGGAATTTTATGACTTTCCAGAAACAGTTGGGAATGGAATGTCATCATCCCAACAGACGAAGTCCATCATTTTTCAGAGGGGTCGGTTGAAACCACCAACCAGATATCCTCTGGTAAACTAACATAGCTATGGAAAACCACCATTTTTACTGGGTAAATCAACTATAAATGGTCAATTTACAACAACCAGGTTCCATTTACAACAGCTTACCCCTGTTTTAGGACCCTGTTTCCAGGAATTGCACGGGTCACATGTTTTTTTGAAACATCTCCACTTACGCTGAGCAAATTGGGTATTTGAATCGGAACAACTTGGGATTAATCCAAATACCACAGGTAAGCATCAAGGTCATAATATCCTGACCTTATCTGCAAGAAAAGGGTGATGAATTCAACCAACGCTAGCAGCTCAATTGAATAACTTAAGTGGTTCAGATGTTCCATCTGGAACTCAACACTCATGCCCAAATGGTCGTCATAGTTGTGATTTTCCATGGGCGATATCTGAGTCGTGTTGCGCTCCCATGTTTGGTGGACCCAGTCCCCAATGGGATCCGCAGAAAATATGGCTGGTTGCAACAGATATCAACAGATGGCAGCCGATTTCCCGTGATATTTCCAATATGTGATTCCCGTAGCAATTGCAATTGTTCCTTATTTTTCCCACTACATTCCTCTGAAATATCGTGATATCCATATAGGATAATCAATATATTCCCATATATAAACATTATACCCATAGGATTGCAATTCTTCAGAACACATTATACCCATATTATACCCATCATTTTCCATCCTTTCATGGCTTTATTCCCACGACATTCCGCTGCCAGGTGGCTCGGCGCCTTGCAACGGCCCGGCGCCTGGCGACGTCGCAGCTGTGGCATGCATCGATCGATTTGCAGATGACAGAACTGGAGGCACCGGAAACATGAGATTTTTGTTCGGGTGCTCTATAGGAACTGGAGGCACTGGAAAGTTATGGTTATATTTATATAGTATTTTTAGGGGGACTATAACATGCTATAACTATATATCCCATATGCAACCCATGGTGCTGGAATATGAATCCCAACATTTGCCCAACATAAATCACCCAGTCATGTAGGTAAATATACCAGCACCATGGAGCATATGGGTATAGTTAAGAACTATGTAGATATAGATAACATAGCTAATAGCTCTATAGAAGAAGGATCTCTGACATTCTCTGACTAGAATTATGGATATATTCACTATAATAATATCTATAACTGTCATGACTATGATATCCCGAGACAAATATATGAACTGTTGATTCATTCACATGAGCAGTTACCATCATTTTCCCATCAGTTATAGGCCTCATGAAATATGGGGGATCAACTCCAGCAATATGGGGCTATGGATAAATTATTGTTGATTGATGATGAGTTAATCACAATCCATTAGCGAGGAATCCTGTTCTCAACCATTTTTTTAAAGGGACGAGACAGGGTTTTGAACACTGCTGATATAGGTTTTCTAATTTTTACGTACTCGTAACTATACAATATATTAAAGGGAGAATCACTATAGCCATAAGGATTATATATAACTATGGCCGTATGAGAAATTAGAGTTCAGCTCTAGGGACCAGAAAAGTGGTTTTCTGACATGTTTTTTGAAGTATCCAAAATTACAAGGCTTAAAAAATGGCACTATGGCCAACTATAGATTAAGTTATAGTAGTCAGTAGTCCACTTAGATTTTTATGGCATCCCGATTTCGACCATATTGCCATCACATTTCTCACATCGACGTCTCGATGGTTTTTGTTGGAACACATTTTGATGGCCAATGAGGGGTCAATGACGCGCATTTCGCAGATGTTTTCACCCTCACTGGGAGTTCTTATATGACCTCCCCAATCCTACACAAAAACATGCTGTCCAGTTAACATCCCAGTCGAGGTGAGGCACACAGACGCGCAACATTATCGGATATTATAAGCATAGGTATATGATCGATTGTCATGGTATATCATTCTGTTCGCACGAGTTGATGTTGCACGAGTTGCTTTTGGTATGGGGCTATGCGACGTCTGTGGAACGGTGGTTCATTTTGATATGCCAACTTCACGATTCCTTGGGGTCGGCTGGGTGGGGGTGGGGCGGGGCTAATAACGTTGGGTTTTACATGCACACATGCCTTGATGCTACGTTGCAAGACCTTCTCTTCCACTGGCACTCTTCCACTTGCACACATGAAAAGGATAGCAATTCTAATGCTGGTTGGTGGTTTGGAACATTTTTTTTCCATATATTGGGAATAAAAATGGTGATTTTCCATAGTTGATTTACCCATTAACAATGGTGATTTTCCATAGTTATGTTAGTTTACCAGAGGGTAGCAATTGTAATGTTTTCTTCGGAGACTCGAATGAAACAAAGGAAAAACTCATTGCGCCGGCGAGTCACGCCAATTCGGGCCATGAGTCACACGGCCAGTGGCCATGACTATTCATGAATTGGTATATTAGGCCATAGTTATTTGGCCCCCATATCCCACTTCTTGGGGGTTGTAGTCGAACTTAGATGTATCACCCTGGTTTAATCCCCATTGATACCAAACCTTTGCTACATTGGAATCAACCATAACTGGGCGATAAACCACTCGTTTTTTTTTTGAGAAAACTGAATGTGGCTGTTGGGTAAGGTCAATTGGGGTGATACAAGTTATGCATCGATTGAGGGTTAGTTATGCAAGCTGGGTGGTGCGAGTTTGGGTTGATTTGTCCACAATGTTCGTTCGTATCTGGTTGGCTGACATTGAACCGCCACGGAGGACTTCATCAAACACATCAAGATGTACGTTATTTGTGCACAGCCTTGGGTCAATCGGATTATATAAACATCATCAAACAATGGTAAAATTCTGGTTGAAGAAATGGTTGGAGTGGTAGGTGGGGGCATGGCTGGAGATCAACTTTTTTTCACCGGTTAGACCGCGTGGATGATCATCCCTCTAGGAGATGGTATACCCAACCTGGTTATGACTAACACTTCGCCATGGTTAAGCCATGGCCCATAGATATAGATGGTTTACCGTTGACCGAACTTAAAAATGGTGGATCTTTCCATGGCGAACTGTTAAATAACCAGAGGGTAAATCATTCTGCATGAAAACCCTCCGTTTAAGTACCCATTTTTAATGGTGTCTTCCCATGTGAAAAACCCAATTTTATGTGCTGCGACACCATTTTGTTGGGGATATTTGGAGAGATTGACCGCAGGCCACAGGCGCTTTGGAAGTCTTGAACGCCACTAGCGGCACCTGGGCCATGTGAAGATTGTGTTCGAAAACCCTGTTGGTTGATGGTTATAGGGGGTTAACTGAGTAATTATACCCAGAGATGAACCCAAGTTGGGACATGTCACAGCATCTCAAGGCTCAGACGCAAGAACTCATGGGCATTGTGACGAGTCCGAACAAAAACCATAGAACTGGTCATGGGCTGGTGCCAGTGTCTCAGGTGGAACAAATCGGCAATTTTCTTCGTCACTGTCGTCAGTGCTTCGATACTCATCCTTTGTGATTTATATTATTTATTACATTTTATTACCTCACCTTGATTGAAATTTTGGTTGGTTACTTGTATGTGAAAAGACGTGAACAGCCATCCCCCCAGTTCTCTGTAGCTCCAAAAGGAGACACAAATTGCAACAACTTCGCACTATTTAGCAGTGTTCATTATGTTATATATATATATATACACTGGGTTCACTGCTCATACGTAAGAGTTACCACCTGGCCAACATGTGGACACTGAAAAACCTTTGAATTGGAAACTATAATCAGGATACTATATATTCATCATCGAGCGAAAAAAACGGTGATATTTTTTGCTGTAGCTGATAGTTATATATAATTTATCAACTTTCATTTCTTTTTTCCAGCTGATAGTTACCACGGAGAGTTCCTCAACGTGGGATTTTCATGGGACTTGACCGCTCGATGAGGCAACTTCACCGCGTTCCAGGAGATCATGACGGAAGAGTTGCTTGGCACGGCATCGCAGGGTTAGGACATGAGATTCGATTTTGGGGTAGAAAATTCAGGTTTCGACACAGAAAAATGTGTGATTTAATGAGATTTTATGCTGATTCATATAAGGATTAGTAGCTAGACTGTCCGTTTGTAGCCGTAATTTGGGAAGGAACACCTTCAGCTTTACACCAGCCCATGAGGATGGCATGTTGCCTCCGGGCAAGCCTTCACGACAGTGACCTTCAAAAAGAGATCGACTCGACTTCTGCAGCTCAAACCTCCCTTAAACAATGGATGGAATGCCCCAAAAATAGTCAGAAAATCGGCGGCCCAAAAAGGATGTAACAGTTTAACCATATTGAAACCTAATCTGTTTCCTTCTAGAATGGCCATAAATGAAGGCATCTCCAATTTTTTTTCGACGAATCCATTGGGCCCAATTTCAGGGGAAATCTACAGGAAAGCTCCATTTTTTGTGACAATCACCAAGGTTTCCTGTAGATTTTTCCCTTAAATCAATCGGTTGAAATAGATAGAATAGTTGGAAAGCTGCAAGTATGAGGTACATATCATCTATTAACATCCTGGTGGCACCCTTTTGTATTGTTGTTCTTAAACTACCTTAAACTAAACCATTGAACCAGGGCCTGGTCTCCTATCCCAATAACTTGACCCATCCAGTTCCCCAGTCAGGTTGGTGACGCAAGGCGTGGCACCCGAAGCGGCAGAGTCCATGAACATCATCTCCTTCGCCACACCCACAGTGCTCTGAAAGATTAAGGGCGTTGGCGGGTCACCAGTGAAATCAATTGTTTTTTTTGTTTGGTCAGTTTGTTGGTCTTTGTTTCAGATTGTTGAATGTTTTTGATCAAATTGATGTGATATTTGGGTTTGTCTAGGGAGTTTTACCACCAAAACGTGACGGCTCCAAGAAAAATGATGACAATTGGAATGCTTGGGGCATGTTATTTCAAGAGAAATCCATATATCATCGGCATGTCTCAAGCTTCGGATGCCCGAAGAAAAAGTTTTTTGTGGACAAGGAACGACTTCCAGATCCAGGTTGGTGGTTTCAAACATGTTTTATTTTCCATAATATATGGGATAATCCTCCCCATTGACTAATATTTTTCAGAGTTGAAACCACCAACCAGCAACAGTTGGGAAAAATCACGCCTTCATTTCGAAAGAAGGGCCTGCATTTGATCTCCTTTCATGGTAGAGCCACGTTTTGTTCAGGGGACATTTGCCGGAACCATCACAGCCATTTCTACAACATCAACTTGTTGATGATGTCCCTTGCAATCTACACTTGGTGGTTCTATTATGTTCTACTGGGATGATCGAGAGTTAGGATGAATTGGGGCCCCATGAGATATCTACTTACAGTCACCCAGCTGCCAACCACAATAACCTCAGGGATTATATCCTATAGTTTCTCCAGAAATGTTTTGCTTTTGCTTTTCACCAGTACATCACCCACTTCCGAAGCATTTGCGAGGCATCTTTTGAAGATTTTGGTCAGTTCTACTCACAATAGTGGTCCTCCACATCACTTTCCATCCCTTTTTCCAGAGATGTTTTTCCTATGGAATTTCTATCCTGGCTGGTGGTTTGGAACATGAATTATATTTTTCCATTCAGTTGGGAATGTCATCATCCCAACTGACGAACTCCATCATTTTTCAGAGGGGTAGGCTCAACCACCAACCAGATGGGATGAAATATGATTCCATAATTTTACCAATTATGGCCATTTTCAATCATTAGCTATGTTAGTTTACCAGAGGGTATGTTTTTCCTATGGATTTTCTATCCAAGTTGATCTCCACGATCCCCTGGGAATCCTCCTCCCTTTGAGTCGGGGCGCTTCGAGGTGAGCAATGCCGAGATCACCACCATCACCAGCTCTACCATGACTACCACCAGCTCCAGCATCAGCAGCCTCACCAGCCACTTGGAGAGGGGACAGCCGCGGGATGTTACATTGGGGATACTGTAGTAGTTTTTTAATGTTTTTCTTGATACTCATTGGATACTCATTGGAACCCATGTTTTCCAGCCATGTTGAATATCTGGAGGGTATCCTTGTCTAATGAACTGGATTGTTGACCAACAGTCATGACTGGTTGGTGGTTTGGAAGATGATTTTTATGACTTTCCATATATTGGGAATGTTATCCTTCCCAACTGACGAACTCATATTTTTCAGAGGGGTTGGTTGAAACCACCAACCAGGTATTCTTTTTGGATGTAAAGAAGGGATATTGTTCATAGAACTATCATTGACTAGCATCTAATAGTGTCAGTAAATGATATATAACTATCCATATAGTTTTTGGGGGATAATATTAATGGATATATCTTGGGACATAGAGTGATTTTATCATTGTAATATATAATATCATATAATGATGATTAATGGCATATGGGATGCAAACATTATAATGGCAATATATATAATGGGAAATGTCATGGACATACAACTAGAATGTAGTGGGATGGATAATAACCCAACAATATGATTTTTGGGTTTGGCTGAAAACAGTGGGGGTAGCCAATTGTCAGACAAACCCGTATGGTAGCTGGGGTATTTTGCATATGTTGTTTTCCCCGTAGTTACCTATTAGATATCCAGTTGTCCCATATTACACATGAATATTATAGTCATCCCCCATGAATTTAATGGACATCTAGCTAAACTGTTTTACATCCCCAATTCATGTAATAGTAATTTTCAGATGAACTAGCAGTTGAATGATTTGATATGGGTTACTGTTAACTTTCATATGAAGACAGTAACTATCATCATAGCAAACACCCATCATAAGTCCATAGTGGGCAGGGTTCATTACGACTATCCCAATATGTATCCGCCATTGTTCATCAGATAACCTACAGTAGTTTAAGCTGTTGTGCTGGGAAATCAATCACCTTAGTTCGATGGTGAGGATACTCGCTGGAACCTGAGAGGGTATCCTTGTCTAATGAACTGGATTGTTGACCAACAGTCATGAGGTTTAAGAACTGGTTGGTGGTTTGGAACCATGGAAGTTTATGACTTTCCATATATTGGGAAGAATGATCCCAACTGACTCATGTCTTTCAGAGGGGTTGAAACCACCAACCCAACAGTCATGAGGTGTTATAATCAGTGAGAGCTTTGCGTACCGCATGAATGGCCATGGACATATCAACTGTTACACACTGTACTTATGAGGTTTGTGTATCCAAAGTTGATCAGCAGCCCATTAATAGCGGCTGTGTGTCAAGAATTGTAAAGTTGACCATCACAAATTGTACATTTAGCCAGGCAGAATATGGATCCATATTTTGCAGAATGGGATGCATTTAAATCAACAATTTGATATGGGAAATGGATGGACAGGGTGGACAGACATACTTACGCGCCATGACAATATGAGTCAATGGGATCAATTTGAGATCTATCAAAACTTGAGCCAAGTGATCAACTGATCATCAAACAGATGGCTTTGTCCAAGATGGTCTAAAAGGCATGTTGGTGGGATTTTGTCCAAAAACAGGGTAGTCCATCCATCCAATGATCTTTGAACATCATCCCATTTGCCGTACAAATCAGACAAAGTGCAGGGATTATTCCAGCCATTCCCAATCGATTTGGAGCACATTTCACCCCTTTTTTGAAATTGCAATGTGCCACAAGTATTTCGCTCACTACCTCCAGCTTGTCGGTTGTTAGGATCGAAAATTCCCCCGCCTTGATCATGTTGGGACCTCAAAGTTCTCAAACAAACAGAAAGGTAAAAACAGTACAAAACACTGAAAAAATGGGCCCTCACAGGGTACCACTCTCCAGAAAACAGGGAAAGTCAACAAACAAATTGTCAGATGTTTGTCGCAAATTTAGCAACCCACTGAGAGAAGTTGGTTGAATATTCCCCATGTTCGTTGAACCAAAGCCGCCCACTGTTGGTTGATTGCTGGTGATTGTTGGCTACATCCAAACTGAACAACCTTTCTTCAGCAAAACCTGAAACCAATTCCATGCCAGGTACTTCTTCAAGCCAGTCAACAACCACTACAACTTCCCTGAGCAGCACCAGCACTGCGACAACTTCCACCACCACGACCGAACGGCCTTTATGGGTGGAATGGTAGGTGACGGTGACGACTATGGGCTACCCGGTAGGTGACGACCTACAAAAAGATGTGGAACACCAATGGTTTCCCGGGAAACTGATCCATAAATGGTTGGGAAAACCACATCCACGGTAGTTTAGGGTTTAGGGTAAGCAACTTTAGCCATCTTCATGCAGAGACATAGCTGGAATTCTGGAATGATGGGAATTGGATTCGAGGAAACATCCCGAATTGGGATAGATGGCTCCATGATAGGAGCTATTTTCAGGTAGCTAGTGCATCAAGAACTTCAGCCAGACATATTCCATCCCAGTGACAGCAAATATGGAATGGTAATCAAACCTAACTAATTATGGAAAGATCCACCATTTTATACTTATGTTTTATACTACCATTTTATACTTATGTTATCAAAATTGTCATCTACGGCTGCCATGAAATCTGAAGGCAGCGAACGTAACCGTCGTTTCCTGACGAGGACAAGCACCACCACGACGGTGGACTATTGGTTGCGGTGGCTTTTCGCCAATGCACCTTTGCCAAAACTCGGCTTTTCGGTGATGGGGAAGTCCCTCTGGTCATTTAACATAGCGAAATGGCACTGTTATAGTTGATTTATACCTATTATTTTGGTGATTTTCCAGTTCGCAAACTGTTAGTGGCATCCCGAGGGTAGTTTCCAAGCTGCGGCATGATGATCATCCCCAATTGACCACAGAATTCATTGATGCTTGGAAACCACCAAGCAGCTATTTTTTGTGGCTGAAATCAGCTGAACATCCCAAGTTCAGCAATCAAATGCAGGAAAGGATCAAGCGTGACCCTGCAAAAAAACACATGAACAAACATGAACAAACCGATAATCAATTAAATGTAGTTCGGGAGTGTTTAGGAAATTGATGATATTTGCATCAAATGGTGGTTCTTAGTCTTGATGCCAACAACATCCCAAGATTCTCCAGTTCTGATAACCTGAGGTCACCAACGACATCTCGAACGTCTCCATACCTGCTGACTTTGCACTGGAGCCATACGGATGTTGTTCTGTTGGGCGGCTGGGTAAAGCCGCAACGGTGTCATCAGACATGGCGGGCCGCTAAAAAAATCCCATCAAGAATGCAGGTGTTTACGAGAAAATCAACTATAAATGAAGGTTTTAATGGGGACATCATCTATAAATGGTGGATACGCTAGCATGTCTTGTTTGAGTACTGGAGGGTATATGGGTCAAGGCTGATTCAATAAACCCTGGGGCCCGGGGCACACAATTTGTTACTATCTGAAGTTTGATCCATACGGAGCTGAGGGTAGACCTGTAGATTTGGTTCGTCGTGGTGTTGATGGTCATGGTCAGGATATGAAGCTGGTCTCAACAGTTATATGGAGGTTTCCTAAAGAAACCTAAAATGGGGGGTCCCCCAAATCATCCATTTTACCATATTTTACCCTCTGGTAAACTAACATAGCTATAGAAAAACACCATTTTTAATAGGTAAACCAGTAAACCATCTATAAATGGGCCATCTATACCATAGCTATGTTAGTTTACCAGAGGGTAATAGGATTTTCGAGTAGCCATCCAGCCTTCCACTCTTGACGTCTTCGGGTGGTTTTTTCACGCCAGACATTTCCCTGAAAAATGAGACATTCATTTCAGTCAACGATACAATCAGACATGGATTATTTTGACATGTTGTCTAATGTTGTGTATACCTTTCAAAAAAACAAACATAGTTGTGAAGAAACCTATTGTTTCCCTTGTAACATCACCTACGCATGGTGGATTTCTATTGTTTCCTTTGTAACAGTATCTACACATGGTGGATATCATGTTTTGTTTTTTTAACCACATCATATCTTCGTTTGGGGAACAAAAACACAGTTGATTTTGTACCCAAATCATCTGTGATCGGGTGAATGACCAACAAATACCATCCATGAAACCTGGCAATAGACAATCTCCGTTGATTTTCATGTGGAAACCTCCAGGTCGGGAATTTCCCAGTCATGTTGAAATACCGGAGGGTAAATCCCTCATATAAATCCCCCATATAAATCGCCTATGAAACCCCTATAAATCCCATATAGAGTTACTGGTTGGTGGTTTGGAACATGTTTTTATTTTTCCATATATTGGGAATCATCATCCCAACTGACTTTCATATTTTTCAGAGGGGTTGAAACCACCAACCAGGTTAAATGTCAGGCAGAACCACCAGACCTCACAGGAGAATTTCACCCACATCCTGATCTACACTTCTTCGGATCTGGAAGAACAGACCACCCCGCAGGCACCGATGACCAGCACCGCAACGGAGGGTTCGTGTTGGGATGACATGCTATACCCAATATACCCAACCAATATATGATATATAACCAGATATCGTTTTTGGGTTTGTTTGGAAATGATTAATATATTGAAACACACATATATATATATATATAAATATATATGTATTATATATATAGATATGTAATATATATATATAGGAATTTCACCTTCTAATGGGCATATAACGAGAGATATGACCAACTTGATATGACTTTTGGCTTTGCCTGCAAATGAGACCCTCAGAATGACCATTTTACTGGGGATAATGAGGTTCTCCACGGGCACTGGTATCCTATGACAAACCAAAATGGATCCCAGCTGACTATATAATATGAAGGGGGGGCTCAACCACCAGCTTGCTTTCTTGGGGTTTCTCATTGTTTGTTTTGTTTGTTTTCCGACTTGACATTGTTTGGGATTCTTATCTGAAGAACATTGTTTATTGACCACTTCCCAGTCTATTGTGAATTTAATCGGAAAATCAGGTTTCAGCAACTAAGATTACCCTCTGGTAAACTAACATAGCTATGGAAAATCGTCATTTTTAATGGGACAACTCACTATAAATGGCCATGTTCAATAGCTATGTTAGTTTACCAGAGGGTAGCGATATTCGATACGTGACAATATGGGGATACCCACTGATACTCACCATGTTTGCACCATCAACTAACATAGACCCTGCCATGAGCATCATGAGTCGAGCTGTTTCTGGTATGGTGAAATCCCATTGTTTGATACTTCAACGGTTTTCTTCTGGTAAACATAGAAAAAACGATGGAAAAAACACCCAGGAATGATACAATGATAGTATAAATCATCTATTTCCATGGGCTGTTGTTTTCCATAGCAAATGGTTAGTTTACCGGACCCAATTCCCAGCTTTGGTGGCAGCATTTGGGCTGTTAAAATGTGGAGAACATGTCGCATATAACTTCGAACCATGTTGGATATGAATCCCACTCATTGCTAATTAGTAACCATGCTTAGTTGAACATGTTCCCATTATTATTGATGGCTAATTAACAATGGTTATAATATGTTATATTCCATTGTAGGATATTGTGGGTTAACCAACAATTGTCCAACAATCAACCAACAGTGGTGTCAAGCACTATTATATCAGTTGACTTATTAAATGTATTAATTTATCAATTATCATGATCAACACTTCACCAACAATTCTTACTAACCATTATTGTATGTGTATATATATATATATATATCATGAAAAAACGCATCTTCAAATATCATCAACCATTAACCAACCATAAAAAAAAACAGTAAAAACCCAATAAGCCATTAAACAACCATTAAAACCAATAAACCATTAAAATATGTTTCCGTATGTTAACCAACCACTAAAAACCTCACAAGCGCCGACCGTCGGAGAATAACGGAAGACTTAGGTCATCTCCATTCTCGACACCAACGCCTCGATCAGCGGCATAACTTTCATTGACCTGGACCGTGGGGGGAAAAACATGGGGGAACTGTTGGAAAATGTGTGGAAAACATGGGGAAAAAATGGGAAACATCTGAGAAAACCATGGAAATTTAGCTAGTTTCTGACAATGAAAATATGAATAGAAACATATAGAAACAAATGATTCCTAGGTTTGGGGCCGAGCATGGAGCCAGTTATGGGGATGACAATGGGACTATTGAATATAGTGGATATATAACCAAGATTAACAAAATTGACCAACAAACTATTGCAATGCTGCAAAGATGGGGATTTACGGCGATTTTCATGGGATGTACTATCATGGCGGATGTGAATGGGATCTCATTGAACCAGATACAAAACATGATGACCAATATGTACCAACACACATATATATAATACTAACAATAATGATAGTAATAATCATAATAGTAACACTAATAATAATAGTAATGGTGATAATAAGAACAATAACAATAATAGTAATAATAATATTATAATAGTAATAATGGTACTAATATGATAATAGTAATAGTAATATTATTATAGTAATAATAATAACAATAGTAGTAACAACAAAAAACACTAATAACAATAATAAGAACAACAACAACAATGATAATAATCATGATAATAATAGTAATAGAAATAAGAAGACACATAATAAGAATAATAGTAATAATGATATATAATAATGATATATGCCTAGACCTAGACCTCCAAATACCACCAAAAAACGGAAGAGTATTGAAATGAACATTATGGGGTAATCCAACATTTTTACGGGCTAGTTTCTTTGTTCGTTGGCATTCTTGTTGCTAAATTGGTTGTGATAATCCGGGCATCAACCAACTGGAGTTCATGGGAGATGTTCTCCAAGATAAACCAACTGGATGGGTATGGTTACTGCAAACTACCTAAATTTCACTCATCTTTTGCCATGAATTGGGAAGAATTGGAATATGTGAACCAACTGGAAGCTAAGCATCTATTTTTTGACAGGCTATCTTCGAATGGCCAATGTTTTGGAGGATAAAAAAACATTGAGAAACCGAAAAAATGGGCCATCTGCCAGGAGTTGGCGGCAGATTTATGGATTTTTTTCATTTTCATGGGTAAATCATCTATAAATGAGCCATTTTCCACACTTACCCTCTGGTAAACATACAAAAAACTATTGAAAATGGCCATTTATAGTGGATTTTCCTATAAAAAATGGTGATTTTCCATAGCTATGTTAAATTACCAGAGGGTATGTTAGTTTATCAGAGGGTATCTGAATCAGAACTGGACCAACATTTGGGTTTATGGTACATCTTGAGCAGTGCGAGACACCCCTGTTGATGTGTAGTTCTTGGATGTTCTTGGATTCTACTCACCAATTTGATGAAATTTTAGGAATATCAAGTCTCACCAATTCTCACCAATTCTTGGATGTTCTTGGATTCTACTCACCAATTTGATGAAATTTGAGGAATATAAAGTCTCACCAATTCTCACCAATTCTCACCCGGAATATCGCAATCAACGGGGAGTTCCCCTTCAAAACCCAGTGGCAGGACTTGGACCGTGGGGAACTCACTGGTGAGGCGACCTGGGAAGAACCCACCGAAGGCTTGGACTTGGTGTTCCTTGGCGAAAAATCGTGGAGTTTTTGGTGTTTTGCTGAGCGCTTTCCGTGTTTTGTTTCTGTTCTTTCTGGCTGTTTTATGTGCATTGGGGTGTTTTGTCAATATGAAGATACGCATGTCACTCCTTTGTTGTCACGAACGTTTGAAACCTCACTTCCCTACTGGAAATGGCCATTTGGGGGATATATCCATGGTATTAATATGTATTAATCACTCATTTTCAAAGAAAACTAGGGTTGAAATTTGACCCATGGATGCTGAGGCACCACTACCAGGTGTATCTCGCCACCTCGGTAGATGGCGCGAATCGTCAAGCAGCAACTTGGTTCTGAGCTGAGACGGTCATGTTGTAGGTGACTGTCCAAAACTAGACATATCTAGACATATCTAGACTATCTAGGCTGTGTGAATCTGTCGACATATCTATGGACATTTTTTTGACTCACCAAAAGATATAAAATGTAGATATCCAAAAAGATGCCACACCTAGATCCACCGGTGTCAACATAGCTGGGAAATCCCCCAGTGCGATGATTTTCCCAGCTAGAAACCTCCATTTTTCACTGGGATTTCCATGGTTTTCCCTGCACCATTTTGACCCCAAGCTGAGGTGGGCTACTCTGAACCTCCAATCACCAGGGCTGCGCTGCCGGCGGAGACGCCCCTGCTGAGTTTCAGTCATTTACTGGTGCGGGGCCCACGCTGTTTTGGGATCTGAAAATTCTTGGGAAAACCCTGGAGGTGGTGCTCCCCCCAGTTATGTCTGTTGGTTAATAACCATAGTAAGTATAATGTAAGTATGTCAATATATCTACCATAAACCATAGTGAAATTGGAGCCATAGTAAATTGGAGCTATTATAGACTAGATATATCTACCATAAACCACATAGTGAAATTGGAGTTATAAACGCACCAACTTCGCGATTCCGAACTGGGGCACCAGCTTGCATGTGAAAGGGGATGAAAGGGGTCTATTTAGGGAAGCGTTTTTTTGTTGATTTGTCCAGGACACCATTGCTTGATTTTGCTTGTCATCAATGGAACCAGCATTGTTTATTTTTCCACCAAAAAAACAATTGTCTATACTACTGTAAATGGTATATATGGACCATATAATTGTAGTGAGAATAGGTAAATTCCAGGAACAATATGTGTCCAAATTGTTTATTCAACATATAAATGGAATATCAAAGACTATATATACCAGCAAGGGTCATCCCTTTTGAATGGTCTTGAAAGATCCAGTTGATGTTTCAAATTCAGGTCTACACTGCCTCGAAGCTGGCGGAGCAAAGCACTCCTGTGGCCTTCTTCCTGTCAGATGTGTCGAAGGCGGCTCCGCAAGCGACGTGTTGTGTAATCCACGGGGATGGCATTTGGTCACCGTTTGTTTCAGCCAAAGTTGATGTTAAGTGGTTTCAGCCATTGTTTAGCATGGCGCTCTACCAGGATTTCTTTTTTAGCTATGTTTCCAAGTTTGGGTAATGATTGTTGGTTAAGCTTTGTATTTCAGTGTTCCTTATTGTTGACAGGAGAAGCGATTCTGGTTGTTGAATGTTTGATTATCGATTAAAGTTAGACTTGCTTTCTTGCAAGTCTTCCATCCATGATCCATGACCCCAATTTAGAATGACTTGGTAGGCTACTCTGAATCAGTGAGGTGTTTTTTTTTCTATACGAAGATGATCCTTTGATACTTTTACGGGGTGAAGCCTATTCGGCCTATTCTTCCTATATTTGGTGGAGTTAAACTCACATCCAGAAATGTAAATCCGGGCAATGTTTTGATGTGCGAAAAATTTCCCCAGAACTCCATGGAAGTCACTGACCGCAGGTGGCTGCGAACCTCACCTTCTACGATTTGGATCTGGATCTGGCCGAGTTGGGCGGCGAAATCACCTGGTCCGTGCCGGAGGTGCCGTGGCTGTGAACACGGCCATGGGAGATGGGGACTGACATGGATGATGTTACTATGAAGAGTTCAGTTGAAACAACCAAACCACGAACAAACCACACTCTAGGTTGGATGTCCTTTCGGGGGAAACACGTGCAGGCACCCAAAGTCCCACAAACCATTTTCCGGGGGCATGCTCAAGGGCCCTGTTGGCCGAGTTTGATCCATATGGCCAAGAGGAAGGCGGTGAGTGATGGTTCAACCTGGCCAGGGCTTCTCGATTTGTGTGTGTCATCCATGTCAAGTTGACGGCGTCAAATTCACATTGGAGGAAAAGAGTCGGTCAAAAACAGAAACCTTCAGTGTCTGCAACCAATTGCTTCCTTTCAGCTGTAAATGAATCTATCCCGCCAGTAGTTGTCGGCACGAAAAGTTTCAGTCAGCTGTTGTACATGGAAAAATTGCATTGCATTCATCGGCAGGAAAATTCCAGTCTGCCGGGCATATGTAAAAAGTGTATTTTGCAAACTGTTGTATTGAAAGGTCACGGATGGGAACTGTTCCAATCCATCCATCGCGTTCGGATGGGAATTATTCCAGTCCATCCATCATCCCAGATCTGTCACGCCAACCGTGCTGATATTGATCCATCTCGGCGTTCTCGCTTTCTCGTCGCGCTTCGCGTTCTTTGCAAACATACATAGTGATGGGTCGTGCTTGCATCAGTACGTTGCAGTCATCGAAGAGGTGGAAGCGATTTGCCTTGTTGATCACGTAGACCTCTCTGCGGAACTCGATCTCATGGTCATGGAGCTCGCGCATGTTTGCATTGGCTTGATTTGCTCGACCCAAAGAATCTTGAACTTGGTAAATCTGTCGTTCCAGTTCAATCACTTCTTGAATCTTTGCCGTCAGGGTTTGTTCAACATCTTGAAGTCGTACTTTGTGAGAGTTTTGAGTTCACTTAAGAACTTGTTGGCATCCTCCTTGTTTGTTTCGCTTGTATCTTTCATATTCTTTCATCACCTGTGCATAGCTTTCCAGTATTTCGATTTCCCTTTTGAAGCTATCTTCCAGTCTCGCCTTGTCTTCTTGTTCAAGGTGTAGTTGGTAGGCCATGTGAGACATCTCGTCATATTCAATCTCGCACTGCACGCTCTTGTCGCGCTTGGGAAGGCGAAAGGCCACGCGCTTTGGTTCCAGTTGGAAAATCTTCGGAAATCCAAGCAGCATCCAAATACAAAAACATCCAGTGAGGAAAGACATCACCATGGTCACAAATAGGCGCATTGCATCGTCGGACCATGAGGCTTCATCAGAGGAAAAACCAGTGACCGGCATGATGTGAGAAATGAAAATCAAATGAGCTAAACCACCTACTTTGCTAGCAGCTTTTGAGAGGGCAAACTTGCGGGCATTTGCTTCTCGTTGCTGTTGTGTTTTCTTCTTTGCGGCAACGAAATCTTCATCTGCTTGCAATTTGAACATGTGAGTTCTAAGGGGGTCAGTGAGCAACTGACGCGCTGAGGGCTTGGTCATGCCATCAGCATACTGTTCTTCACTTGAAACCCATCGCAAAAGTGTTTGGCACTCTTGCATCTTTTCTTTCACAATCATCACCTCAATCTTGGTTCGTTTGTCACCTGAAAGCTGAGGAACTTCTGCACGAATTGAATCGTACAGAGCTTTTGCATCCACCACTAAAGCTGTTTTGCTGATCACCCATTCGCCAGGAGACTGCAGAGTGTAGTCAGCATTGAGACATCCTTGGATCAGTGTTCGGGTGTATTCCAAACTATCCATTGCAGCTGCGCATGCTTGAGATTCAGCGTTCAAAGAGCTTCGGGACACCCTGGGTAAACGAAAACTTCTCCAATCCAAAATGATGTAGTTGGTGGTTTCACCATCCAGGATTTCTTTTGGAGCAAGCATGGTAAGGTAACCACCTTGGCTGTGGCCTTCACGTCGAATTCCCCAAGAGGCATCGCTCATTGCAACCAAAACCATATCTGAAATCTGACCAAGTGGACGAAATTGGAGTCCAACATCGTTGTTCACTTTGGAAAATTTCAGAGTTTTGTTTGCATCACGCAAGTCTTCAGTTGTAGCAGCTGTAATCTGACCACTGAGGAGAGAAACTGTTGCACCAAGTTGAGGGGCAGTTTGAGTGCTAGGCCATTGAAGCGCACCAAGCACCGCACGTAATGCACTAACCTCATTTTGTGTGGCCATTGCAGAGTCTCGACGCTTCGGGTCGATGGTGATCGGCTTGATCTTGCTAAAGTAGTCAGGCTGTCCAAGTTGATAGCCATAGGAGGTTTTCACAAACGAACATCCACAAAAATCAAGCTTCTCGTTCATCAATGTGAGTCCAGTGTTTGAAATTGAACTTTTCACGCAACAACTTCTTGGCTGTGTTGTAGCAAGCATTGTGAGGGTTGCCACTAATCAGCATGTCATCTACGTGTAATCCAACCAAACAACATAAATTTCCTTCAGCATCATGCAGTCTGAACAAACAACCATCCAGCTTGTGCTGGGTGAATCCAACTTCCTCCAGTCGTCTTCGCGCGACTTGGTACCAGGCTCTTGGAGCATCTGCCTGGCCATAGATGGGCTTGAGGAGGCGCATCAAGGAGTTGGGCTTGATGTTCAGCAACATGCAGGCATCTCTGGGGAGTTTGCACCAAAGTTCACGGGCTTGTTGGTCTCCCTGCAGAAAGGCTGTAGCCACATCGGCACATAGAAACTCCCATTGGTTCAAAACACCAATGGACAGCAGCACTTGCCTTGACGTTCTGTTCAAAGTTGGAGTGCTCGTCTCAAGGCTACCAGACAGCAGGTCGGGATCGGAATATCCCTGCAGCACAAGTCTAGCTTTGGCTTTTGTGCCACCTTTACCATCATCTGCCCATTTGAGAACAAAACGCGCTTTCAAAATGCGGCTTTCTGATGCTTTCTCAGGCTCAAGTTCAAGTTGCCAAACTCCATTCTCAAAAATTGATTGCAGCTCGGCCTTCTTTGCAGTCATGAAGGTGAGGCGGTCTTCAACTGTCATGCGGGATTCTTTCAAATCAGCCTCTTTGTCCTTCTTCTTTTTCAAAGGGCGAGTTGCAGCCATCCAGACTTCAGAGGGTGAGTTTTCCATGGAGCCGGAAGTGGACTTACTGATCTTCTTCTTGAGATTTATGTATGGCATCTTGAGCTTTTGGGCAGCTTCTTTGGTGAGTGGAAAACGTTTTTCCAAAGAAACCATCTTTGCTGATCTTTCGCTCGGCAGCAGCTACAGAGTCAACCATCATAGTTGAGGCACCTTCACGCATGGTGATTTTCAGGGCTTGCAAGTCTCCCAACTTAATGGGGACATCTTTGATGGCATCTGCAGTTGGTCTCCATGAGGAGTCACGTGCAATGACATGATTTCGGACCAGGAAACCTTCTTCAACTGACCAGAAGTCTTGGGTCTTGCCAAGGACAAAGGAGTTGGAGACTTCATCATAGGTCCAGCCATCAGGCAGCATGTCACCTGCAAACTTGTTGTGCTCACCATTGGAACTGTAGAAACCAACTTCGACACTGTTGAAGATCCTTTGGCGTTTCTGCTCAGAGTCATTCTTTGGCTCATCCAGGGGTCTTCTCTGACGTTGGAAGTTTCTGAGCCAGGCCATTTCTCCTTGATCCATGTTGCGGCGTCTTTGTTGGAAATAGGTGTTGCCACTGTCAGCAGGCAAAGTGTTAACTGCTGCAGCTGGCTGGTCATCGCTGGCAGGCAAAGTGTTAACTGCCACGTTCGGACCATCTTCAACTTCTGAATCATCGCTTGGAACAGGAGGTAGATCTTCATCTGCCGGCATCTCATTCTGGGGAATTGCAGTGGTGTTGGCATCATTGTTGTTGGTGTTGGGCTCATCATTGTCGGCAATCACTGTCTCGGCAGGAGTTGTTGGTGCATAGGAAAATGGAGAGTCAGGAGGTCGTTCAAGTTGATCGTTTTTTTGTCAGATCCATTTGCTCGATTGCGTCATGGAACTCATCACAGCATCAGCTGGGCTGTCCAAGATCTCAACGTCAGGTTCCGTTGCGGCATCATCAGCAATCGGTCCAGGAGATTCTGGTGGAGCTGGGTCATGCAGTTGAAGTTGATGTGGAGGACTGCCATGTTTGCGCTGTTTGCGGTTGTCGTCCAAGTCAAATCCACAGGAGAAGACATTCGACCTTCAGCAGCATCAACCAAACGTTTCACATGGTGTTTTCCAGCTCGAATCAGCACTGTTCCATGAGCAAGCCAGTATGTGTCAACATTGCCAGTGTCAGGGTCAAGTTGAACTGCGACGACAACGGCAGGACCTTTCCACTTGATGGTGTGGAAGCGATCAGTTGACTCTCGCCAATAAAGGCATCTTTCGCCAGCGACCAGTTCTTCATCTTGGCCACGATACTGACGCAACAAGGCTCTTCGCAATCGGACATCAACATCAGCTTTGGCACATGCTTGTTGGGCTTGAGATCGGCACTTAAGGATCTCCTGAAGGTGTTGACCTTCAGATAGCTGTGGAGGCTTCGTGCGCTCTTCAGACATCAGTCCAGGAACAGCAGGCTGTCGACCCATTGCAAGTTGTGTGGGTGTAAAGCCGTTCACAAAGGTGTGCTCGTTGAGAGAGGGCACAACCCAATTGAGAGCTTCATGCAAGGCATCCACTCCAGCGATCTCATTGTCATCCATGTAGATTTGAACAGCACGCCGTAGCAGTTGATGTCGTCTCTCAACAACGCTCGTTCTGGTATGGACTTGTCCAGGAGAAATCTTGAGCTCAATGTCATGGTTTTCTGCCCAAGTTCCAAATGCATCGGATCCCCATCCAGCATATTCATCGACTTTGAGTTGTTGCATCGGACCATGGAACCTAATCCAGGAGCGTTCCAATGCTTTGATCAGTGGAGGGGACTTTTCATCGGACACAATGCGGGCAGCCATGTATCGAGTGCATTCATCAACCGTAGAGAGAATTGCCACACGTTTCTTCTTGTCCAGTTCAATCCACATTACATCAGCTTGAACCACGTGGTTGAAGTTCTCAGCACGCTCAACTGAGGCAGGGAACACACCCTTCTTGATGCCGTAGTTTTGGCAATGGGGGCAGTGCAGAGATTGGATTGCTTCTCTGACCTTCTCACTCACTTGTTTGCCTTCAAGCAACTTCAGAAGCACTTCTTTTCGAGGATGGCCCAAGTTTCTATGAAGACGATGGGCAACTCGAGCTGCATGAGATCCATGCGCCGTAGCCAATTGTCGCAAAGTGCCAGTTTCAGCATCATCAACTGCATAGATCTGTTGAGTGAGATCCTCGTCATCCATGATGGCTTTCGCCAAATGTTTTGCCAAAACAACGCCATAGTTTTCAGCTTCTCGGCATCGTTGACCACCACCAGGCATGGAACCTTCAAGGGGGCAGTGGGTGTGATCACCTTGACAACGGCGATTCATGAGCTTGTACATGGACATCTTGGTTGTTTGGATACGTGTGGATTTCTTGATTGGCTCCTGAAATCCATCATCATTGATTGTTGTGGCACCATACTCGCACTGATCAAACAAGGCAGCTAGCCAGGAAGTGTGGAAAAGGCTTTGGTCTTCCAGGCTCGGCTTCTCTCAGGATGCTCAATGTGAGCGTGACGACACTTCAGCTGCTTGTTGATTGCACATATTCTCAAGTTTCTTCACCGTGCATTCTGGCAAGGAAATTGCTTCTGGAAAATCATCATCGTCGGCTTGGAGGATTTCATCGCTCATGTTGGGCTTGTTGGCATCAGGTTGCATGAGGTTTTGCACCACTTCGGTCATTTGGGCATAGCGACCTTCAGCATGCATGTCTTTCAGAAAGCTGGCCATCGTTTCAACCTGATCGTGATCATCATCTTCACTGATGAGGTCGAACTGCACATCCATGAGTTCTGAGCCATGTTTGACTCCATCAGCCAGTTTCAAAAGCATTGCACCACCTTTTCCGCGGCGGATTTCTTGCCAGTCACCACCCAGTAAGCTCATCCTTTTACCACCAAAGTCAACCACGGCATTCAGCATTTCCAGAATTGGGCGACCAAGCAGCATAGGAGTGGCACCGAAGATCACAAAACATTGGATGCGACCAACCTTGTCGCCAAGCTTTGCAGGCAATTGCACCATCCAACGGCTGACACTTTCACCGTCACCTCCAAACTTGAAGCTTTTGTCACAACGTTTGAAGTGCAAGTGTTCCACATCCATGCCAATCAGTTCCAGCCATTTCAGATACCTCAGCACGTATTCAGAGCCAGCAAGAAATGTTGAAGCACCACCATCCTGTATGCAAGCATCAGGTTCTACGGTAACCCAACTGTTGCTGTCAGAAATCACATGCTGAGCCATTCCAACGAAATTTGCACTGGAGTCAGCGGGACGCTTCTTGCTCGGTGAAGTGCTGGAGCTCTTGGTGGGGCAGTTGGCGGCCATGTGACCGAACATTCCACATCGCAGGCACATCATTGAGGACATATGTTCACCCCTTTCTTTGATACTTGACATACCCTTTTTGGGGGAACCTAATCCCTTTGAACCTTTTGATCCCTTTTTGCCTTTTGACTTACCCTTTGACTTCCCTTTTGAACCAGTCCTTGAAGGCGATTGACTTCCAGAGGCTGAGGAGGAAGCAGCAAGAGTTGTTGACCACCAGCGACTGCAACCACAGGGAAAAATCCACGAGAAACTCGGAGTTGATTCAGCTGACGTTTGCTGTCGGCGTATGCAGCATAGACTCGGTCAAACTCTTCGGTATCAAAAACCTCGTCATTTGCAGGCATGTCTTCAACTGTTGAGCCATAGTAGGTGGATTGCACATCATCCCATTCCTCATCTTGCCAGTAGAGTTCATCTCCATCATAGTCAATTGGGTTGCCATCATCACCGTAGGCAGTGTTGTCATCAGGGTATTCTCCATCATCTTCGTAGTACACCTCGTCCTCGGCAAAGTGGGTACGGTCAGTTTTCCATCGACCACGCATGTTGTTGAACTTTGCAGGTGAGGGCGCTTTGTGATTCTGGCCAAGGGTGAGGTAGAGCGCTTTCTCAACCTTCTCAACTGTAGTTTCAGTTCCTATACTGTTGTTTGAATCAGCTGTGTTTGCTCTTTTGTCAGACCGGCTCTGCGCATCAGCAACCATCCAGCAACCTCATCTGGGAGTGTCACCTTGTATTTTGACAACTCTCGCAAGGCTTGTCCAGATTGGGTGCAATAGTCCAACATAGTCTGATTCATGGTGCGGTAGGTCTTGTAGAAGTATTTTTCGAAGGCTTCTGGCATTTCGATCTTTGCATCGTATTGCCATTGCGCATCTAACCTGTCCAGAATTCTTCCCAGTCCATCGGCCGTTTCCAAATCTTTGACTTCGAGGTCTTCGCATTGACGCCAGGAGGCACCAGTTAAGGTGGACAAAACAGAAATCCCTACTTCAGACTCTCGTTTTTGAATGGCCATGCGTCTTGCATATAGCTGTATCCGCTTGCGCCATTCCTTGTAACCAGCAGTTATATTGTCAAACCGTGGTATGAAGGTGTCCTTTGTGAGGGGTTCCACAGTGTCACTAGTTCCAGTGGCCATGGCTTCAGCAACGGTTTGGATCACTTAAGATCCCCGGAGCACTTAAGCTCCGCCTACCAATATGAAGAGTTCAGTTGAAACAACCAAACCACGAACAAACCACACTCTAGGTTGGATGTCCTTTCGGGGGAAACACGTGCAGGCACCCGCAGTCCCACAAACCATTTTCCGGGGGAATGCTCAAGGGCCCTGTTGGCCGAGTTTGATCCATATGGCCAAGAGGAAGGCGGTGACGGTTCAACCTGGCCAGGGCTTCTCGATTTGTGTGTGTCATCCATGTCAAGTTGACGGCGTCAAATTCACAGTTACAGCAAAATGGGAAAGCACAGCCAGCGCAGAGACTTTCAACTGAGCGGGTAAGTGGCGGCAAAATATACCAATCCACCGGGCGAATCCTTATGGGGTTCAAACTGGCAACCAGAACCTCCCAAGGATGGCAACAACTTTCCCGAAAAATCACCCCTTCTCAGGATCCAGAGCAATTGATCACTGGGCTGAATCTTTACTTGGCTCAGCTTCCAGACGCAGGCGACGGGGGGATACTTCCCTGGTTTCCTTTCATGTTTGGCCATGGATTCTGTTTCTGACCGACTTGTCTTATGGCGCGATCATTTCTAGGGCCATCAGTTTTTAGGTGTAGCTCGTCATTTTTGAGGTCTATAGCTCTGCGTTATTATGCACATGGATAGATTTACGGACAATTTCGGCAGACAACCTGTCAGACAGACAGATGGAATTATCATATTATTGGCCGTGGATGGTGAACCTGGTTTCCACGACTCCAGAGTGAAATAAACAGACGAACCAGACCAGTTTTTTAGACCCTCCGTTTGTAGCCCTAAAGATGGTATAAAATAGTGCTTATTTCTACCTCATGTTTTACCATTCTTTTGGGGGCACATGGAAGGTCTAGGTACCAACTTGCTGATTGAATCCACTCTCTGAACTTTTGAAAGGCTCTGGGAAGCTCGCGATTCTTGTTTTGAGAGGATGTATTTTTGGGTGATATAATTGATTTATTGATTGGTTTCAGGATGATTCCTCTATATATGTCTTTCCATAAGTTCGTCATATACGTTCCTAATCAACATTGATGATTTCTTTCGAGGGGTCGCAATTGGATACACTCCAAGTCGAATGACATCAGTGCCAGAAGACCAGTAGTGCTGTGCCGCTTAGGTGGTGAATGTAACTTTTCAGGGACCACTGGTGTACCTTGGATGAACCAACTGAGAGATGTGGATGGGTGCCAACCCCCCAATGTATTTATATACATATTGGGAAAATAGTTTGGACATGTTTGGAATTATTTTGGATTACATTGAGACTGGGAATTTGGATTGAACATTTATTTATTTATTTATTTATTTATAATGAAGATATACAAATCAATAGGTAATGGGGACAACGAGGCTTTAATCCATTGAATTACCCTGGTTTCAGCCAGTCCCAAATATCAATGGATGTTTGCTTGTATCCCAACGCAACATGTCTACTGTTCGTAGAACTTTTTGGGGGGATGTGAAACCAGGGGTGCAGAGGTTGTTTTCATCACCAGAGGATTCATGCAAAACTCCAGGAATTCTGAAAGCCAAATCACTGGAGAGGGGGTAGGTCATGCTCCATGAAATGGGGGTATTTGTAGGTGGAAACTTCCAATTTATCTTCAAAGTATGGGAATTCTTTCGGCCACTTGCCTAACAATCAGTGAAGCACATGGGGGTTGGATCACAACAGCTGAAGACCCAAGGAAAACTCTCAAGACTCCCACCGAGTTTGATTCAGACTGGGGGCGCTTTTTGTAGGTCATCCCGTTTCCCATCAAACACATATTACCATCTCGTACTGCTGATATCAGTTGATGAGAGATCAAAAGCAAACTCATTCAAATAATCACCACATCCAAACATTCTCCAATTTTATCCCATCAAGTATCACCAGAAAATGGTCATGAAAACCATTCCCCTATTTTTCCGCCATTTCCCCGAGGAAAACACTTCCAACCTGGGTTGCGGCGAAAGCTTCGTGTGCTGCGAGCGGCTGGACTTGGGAAGCTTCACGCCGGAGGACGGCGAAAAAGTGATGGTTTCACCAGCGATATTTTGAGAGGATGAACAAAAACTATAGAGATAACAGCGGGAATAAACATGGAGATATATGATATGTATATATATATATATATATATGATATGTATGATTATATATGAACAACCATACATGCTCTATTTGGGTGGATGAACGTCCATAAATACCAGCTATTTTGATTTGAACCGAAAGGTAAGAATGTTTTAACCTACAACCAAGTGGTGGGTATGAGCATGAACAGTTGTGGTTTAATATAATGGTTTAACCATTAATGCTTGGGAGAACCAGGATATAACCAACCATAAATAAAGGGGAATATCATAGGGATGCGATGGGGGTGTGATGCAATAGTGACCCGCGAGATAATCAGGGTCTATCAGTGCCTGTGCCACAGTGCATGTGGCTCCGTTTTCAGGTGCTCTGCTCTGAAACTCTTTCCAGTTGATTCGCGCTATTTTCATTTTCATTCGCCATGGCTTTCATCGCGTGGGCAGCTTTCGGGATCATCCTCGCCGCAGGAAATGAGCTTCCGTCTGGGGCCCAGTTGTTGAGCCGCTGCCTCCCACATGTACATGACATCTAACCAGTGTTTGAGGCAGAGCCCAGGCCGAATTTTGGCAAAGTAGATCACAAGGAACACATGTTGCGTACATTCAAAGGTCTTCCTTGTGACTGTGGTTCTTGCCAAAGCAGTGCTCGCCTGAATCTGCCAAGGCAAGATGTATCTAGCGTTTTGTCAATGGATGATGAATGCCATACGGGCGCATCGTGCACGATGCAAGCGCTCCAGCTCCGCGGAGAACTGGACGCTGTTGCTGAACTGAATTGTTGCAGCATGTTGCAGCCACTAAGTCGGGGGGTGTACTTTTGCGTTGAGCAAAATGTGGACAGATTCCTTGCCGGACTTAAGGGCAATCAGGTAGCGCATGTGTTTCCCAGGATAGGATGGATTGGCTCTGACAGGCTCTGAGGTATTGTAGCACCAGAAGCTAACAGATACTCAGTCAGCAATCGATTTTTTTCTGGCCTGAGAGTCTCAGAGAAGTAGAATTTTGCTAGCTATCCTGTGAATCCACCTTTCAGTAAAGAAAATAAAAGGACCGGATAACCCCACATGTCAAGCCTTTATGTATCTAAGGTTTTAATGTGAACTTCGGGGAGGTGTGAGAAGTGAGGTGTGAGAAGTGGACTTGTGATGTGAGGTGTGAGAAGTGGAGCTGTGATGAGTTCTGATGTGATAAGTGAGGTGTGAGAAGTGGTTTGAGAAGTGGAGCTGTGATGAGTTGGGATGTGATAAGTTGTCATGAGAAGTTGTGATGCGATAAGTGAGGTGTGAGAAGTGAAGCTGTGATAGGTTGTGATGATAAGTGGAGCTGTGATGAGTGGTGATGAGTTGTGATGAGAAGTGGACCTGTGAGAAGTGATGAGAAGTGGAAGTGTGAGAAGTGGAGCTGTGATGAGTTGTGATGAGCAGTGGAGCAGTGATGAGTGAGGTGTGAGAAGTGGAGCTGTGATGAGTTGGGATGTGACAAGGTGTGATGAGTTGTGATGAGAAGTTGTGATGTGATAAGTGGAGCTGTGATGAGTGGTGATGATAAGTCTACGGCGGTGGAGGCGGGAACAGGAGCGGCGGGAAGCAAGCGAAAAACAAGAACCCCACACATGATTCATGCAGCACACGAGTTCTTTCTCAAGAGAGGCCGCGCAAGTTCAAGCGTCATCATAGTGTGCAGTGTCGAGTACCTGGCACAGGTGATGAGGTAAAAGAAATATGAAATGAAATGATGAGTCTATGCGACAGAAAGTAGCGGAGTGATAAACTGTCGTCTGTATGTTCCCATGAAGAGCACAGCTATTTTCCAGAACAGTTACTACGACTGTCCGTTAAACGTAAAGGTTGAACAGAAGTGTTTCCCAAATTGATTCACAGGTTGGTGGTTTCTGTGATTCACCAAGTTCTGCCCACACACACCCCAAGCTGGATAGCTACCAAGAAAGCTACCAGGCATGGAGGCACGCACCGGGGCAACCGGCTCTTAAGGGCTTCAGCTACTCACACGCACTCCCCCCACTCTGCAGCTCAGGCATGCAGAGTGTAGTGTATGCAACCTGGCAGAGGCCGTTGGGCTTGAGCCACCGCACCAACTGTTAGGCGCCTCGCCAAACTTCAAAAGCCAAACTTCTCGCTGATGAACTGCATCGGCCCCCCGCTTTCTGAGACGCCTCGCGTCCCCCGCTTTTTGAGGCAAAGACTCGCCCTCCAACTTCTTTGTCGAACAGGCCCTGCACACCGCAGATCTCCCAGCTTCACCACACATGCAAGAAGCATTCCCAGCGGGCATCAAAGCCGCGCAATGGCCACATTTGGGCTCATAACCTGTGATTCACCAAGTTCTGCCCACACACACCCCAAGCTGGATAGCTACCAAGAAAGCTACCAGGCATGGAGGCACGCACCGGGGCAACCGGCTCTTAAGGGCTTCAGCTACTCACACGCACACTGTCAAGAAGGGTTTTGATGCCCCTCTTGAGAACGGCAATCTCGCTCTCCACACGACCGTTCGACTTCCATCCATCCCCGTCGGTGTATGTCCTGTAGATTCCACGCTCCTCACACCAACGTCGTAACTGGGTGGACGTGAGCTCACCAGCCCGGTCTGAATGAAGACGTCGTACTGGAAGTCCAAGATATTTCAGCTTGGTGGTCATGCGGGCCACAGCTTGGACGAGGTTGGTAGCTCGTCGATTTTCGAGTGGCTCCAGAAGAGTGAGGTGTCTGATCTCAAAACCTTCCTCCTCCTCTATTTTCTTCAACCACTCCTCCTCATCGTCCTTTGGTGGCTCTTCTTGGGACTCACCTTCCACACCTTTCTCCTCACCCTCCTGTTGGATAGCCTCCGCGCTTGCCTCTGCATCCTCAACCTCCGGTTCTCCACGCATCACGCTTCTCCCTTCTTTGGTGACTGGCACAGTGAAGGTGCCGGCAAGAAAGTACTTGGCTTGGGCCTGCTTGTCTGCAGCCCCCTGGTCTATTCCTTTGACGAAGGGACCGGCAAGGTCAATGGAGAGAGACAAAGCTTCACGTGAGACAATCTTTCGGTGATACCTGCCCTTTCCCGCTGAACGTAGGCAGGTCTGACATTCCTTGCGGAATGGAAGATGGTCATTCTGCAAGTGAGCCTTCCATTCAGCCAAAGACATCTTCTGCAGCCTGGGATCTCCGATCCAACTCCTCAGTGCGACAACCAGAGCCCTCTTGAGACCTGGTGCCCATGACACCCAGGACCTGGAGGCGGTAATCCTCTCCTCAACACCAGCCCCATGAGAACCCGCAGATCGGCCTGGACCTCGCATCCCTTGAAGCTCCTCTAACCAAACCACATTGGTTCCCAACGTTGTAGGCTTCCTCCTCTCATGTCCCATTGGGCCTTGATCAAATGAGACTTCCTTCATGTTGTAAACCTGCTTAAACTGATCCCACTCCTCAAAAGCCCAGAACGATGGCACTGGCGCCTGACCATCAAGAGTTGGAGCATAGGTCTCCGGATCTTGTGGTGATTCTTTCACAAAGGCAACCTGTCGCTCTGAGGCGCCCTGAGCGAGCATGTAGAGGAACAACTGCCTCATCCATAGGTTGGTGTCCTCGTCAACTCGCCTTTGCAACCACGGCTCCAAGTGGTCAAACCCAAAACGCTCCACGCCAAACCTTGATCTCAAAGGCGGCGGCCCTGGTTGAGTGTGTCGAAGTCGACTGACACTTCGACAAGGTGGTCCTCCAAGGATAGCGACCACAGTGCCGAGTTGACACAGATATTGGAGGTATGCCATCACGGCATCCCTTCTCAGATCTTGGTCCTTGTGGATAGCCAGATCAAGGCAGAGCACTTCACGTCCAGGGGCAGCGAGCTCTTTTTCCCAAAACACGGGATCTTCACCAGAAAAGAGATGAATGACAATCTCCCTGGCACACCTCAAGCGACGTCGGATGCGCCTATTCCAAGGAAGAGTCTCTCCTTTCCAGCCTGACTTCGCTGGGATCCTTTCCAAAACCTCCTCCGGAGTGGACGGAAAAACCTCCTTCAACCTCTTCAAAAACTCCACCATCTCCTTTCCAACTAGATCCTCATGGTCAACTGCCAGCTCGTCACCTCTCAAGATGTTCAGCCGTGCCTTCTGTCGAATCATCTCCTTCTCAATCTCTTGGATCAACTCTAGACCCAACTCTTCCTCAACCGTTGGACACCCACCTTCAAGCCTGGTGTCAAGAACTCTTCCACCAGGATCAGTCAACTCAAAGCTAGTCCCCTCCCACCTAACTGCATAACCACAGTGTTCCACCAAAACTCCCAGAGGGACGATAGGCTGCACCGTATCCTGAGTCAACAAGGTGCGCGACCAGGATTTTTGGCGAAGATGGAATATCTTTCTGATTCAATCTTTGGGAATGGTTCAATGCTCTGCTTTTACTACTCTTCTTTACAGCTGGTTCTCAATCACCAGGCAATGCAGGAGCTCCTTTTGTAAAGGCATGTTGCCAACCATGTGCCCACCCACCCTTTTGCAACATGTAGTCGGCATTGCTACTGCACTTGTGCTGAGCCTTTGAGCTAAGCACGCCCACCATTGAGCATCTGGTGCATGCCATGTCTCTGCATCCATGTGGTGCAGCAGTATGCCAACCAGCCAACCAGCCAACCATGCAAGTGGAATGTAATGTAGCTGACCATTTCACTGTCCACCATTCCCTTATGAGACAATGGTGGACAAGAAGAGCGTAGCAGCATAGCCAAAAAAAGTGAATATATATATATATATTATTATGTATTATATATTATTAATATATATTATCTATGACACAATATTATATAACTATTGTTAATATATTATCTATTGTTGCTATCATGACTTCTTGGTGGAATGATGTGCTAGGGGTTTTTGGAAGGGTGCGTGTTTGTGCAGGATACTTTTTATCTAAAACTGGTTTGATTGATCCTTTTGGAAAACTCCAACTACAAACCTTACCAGCCACTATTTTGGGAACCTGCTTCCAATTTTGGTGCCAAACAAACTGATTGACCACATCATTGTTGGGTTTGTTGGTTTGGGGCCCAACCAACATCTTCATAATTTCATGTTTTGTTTCCAAACAAACTATGGTCCAACTTTTCCAAACAAAAAAGAATCCAATCTACCGCTGTGAGGTGGGAAACTCAAAATGGGCAAGATGGCATCCATATCCACCCTATGGCTGGGTACGCCGAACCTGTGCTGGGCTGGGGCGGGAGGGCTGGTGCATTCCTGGCCTTGATTTGATATCCATTGCCGTTTTTCCAATCAAAGGTTGGGGTTTTTCAGACCACTGCCATGGCCCATGGCAGATCTTACTGATTCAGATGCAGAGCCTGCATGCTGCCTCTCTGATTCTGGAGGTTACTTCATCTTAACTAGTTAGTTTTTTGGTGGGTTGGAATTTTGCTCAGTTTAAGTTTGGCGTTGCTGGTTGTGGCAGGGTGTCTTCAGTTTTTCAAATAGTAAGGTGAAGAACCAGTGTTGCCCCGAAAGAGAAAACATGGTGTTGATGTTGAAGGTGAACCAGTTGATGATAATGTGGAGGACAAGTTGAAGAAGCCTTGTCTTTGCAAATCCCAAAGCCGTAAGCGAGATCGAGTTTCTTGTTTTGAACCTTTTCGAACAAATCCTTTGCTTCAGCAACTGAAAGCGTGGCGGTCCAGTTTCCGGGAGTTGCACAAGTTAGACCAAGACCGATATGTTTCTCAGTTTTGCTTCAAATGTTTTTCTTAAATGATTGTCCCCTTGGAAAAGGGTCTACGGTGCACCAAGTATCCAATAGCTCATACTGCTAACACAGGGTCTTTGTTTTGATTTTTCTTGAAAGGGAGTATACTTTAATGCTGTTCTCTATATATATATACATATATATATATCTTTATGTATGTAAGAATATGTTACATAATATATGTATATATAAGGATATATGCATCTATATCTATATCCATGTCTATCCAATGGGAATTTCATGACTTCTATTTTCTACCTTCCCCTCAACTCAGTTGTTCGACAACTTGCGGGAGCTTGCAGTATCTCAGGGAATTATTCAGCCTGGTGGTGGTGGTGAAACTACTGTTAGTAGTGATTCCAAAATGCAATATTTTTTTTTGAACAGACCTGTGTGCAGAGCCGCCTATGCAACTTTGATGGGGGTATCATGGTCACCCAGACTTGGGAATCTTTTGAAAGCAGTACTTAGGCACCCATGGATTCTCGCTACATGGAAAGACCTCATGCGGATCCCAAACCTGTGTACTCTGAAGTTTGGTCATACTTGCAATCCCTTTATGACAGTGTCGCTGAAACACTGCCCTTGGATGAAAAGAGCACCAAGAAATCCAAATCTGGTGATGTTTGGAGTGAAGATGAAGATTCTTATCGATGTACCCCATCACAATCGTCAAAGATCCCTGGGCAAGAGGTAGAGGTTCGTTACCTGCCTCCTGGAACTATTTTTGACCTTTGGCGCCAATATTGTTCAACAACTGGTCAAAAGTGCTCATGGCAATGCTTTCACAGCTGTTTTCGAAATGATTTTTCTCACAAACTTTCTTTTAGAGATCGCTACCTCTTCAGTGTGTGCCCTGTCTGTGTACAACACAAACTGTTGATCAAACACCTATCAGCTGATTTGAACCGACGCATTCGCCAAAGAGCACTCTATGACAGACATTTGGCCTCGCAGCTGATGGATCGCAAGATCTATTGAGCGCTGAGAGCGTCCAGCAGGTTGCAGCAGAAGCAACTCTGCTGCATAATTGATGGGATGGACCAAGGAAAGTATGCGACACCACGAAGTCGCATTTTCGACAGCCATCATTTCGACAAATATCAAATACCAAGACTCCATGTTTGGGGACTTCTCTGTCATGGCTATGTAGCCTGGCTATCAGTATCAGATGCTGACTGTTCCAAGGGTGGTTCGACGACATGTGAGTTGCTACTCCACCTACTTACAGTGTTGGCCAACCATGGGGTTCAGCTGCATGATTGCACATTGACTGTACAACTGGACAATACAGGTTCATCCAACAAGAACAACATTGTCATGGCCATGTGTGGCCTGCTCGTGCAAAAGCGCCTTGTCGGAGAAATCCGGCTGGCGTTTTTGCGAGTAGGACACACTCATGAGGATCCTGAAATCAATTTGTCATGATTTTCTATTTGAGCAAACTTTTCTTGGGATTCCAAGTAAACGATGCTGAAACTTTTCCAACTCAATTCAAAACCATGAGGATGTGGATCAGTGGTTTGGAGCATTGAGTCGAGCCATGGATTCATTAGCAATAGGTTTCTTCAACACCACTTTCAATTTTGAAGAGGGAAAAACATATAAAACATAAAAACACATACTTTCTAACAAGATACATAGAAATTGGGGGTCTTTGAAACTGAATGAGGATTTGTGAAGAACAAAGTCGCAGTGGCGGAGTCTCCAGCAAAACTGATCGATGTCATCAATGCCAAATTTCTTTCTCAACCGGAAAACCGACCACATGAAGCACTGAAGTCTTGTTTCAAGATGGATTACATCAGAGATTGGAAATCGTGGCTGGCGAAGTGTGGAAAGAAAGTTGTTGGTATCTTTGGGCCATCAGCGCCCCATTGGTTCGAGTTTCGACAGCGAAATAGTTGTTTGGCTGATTAAAGAAACCATATTATTTGTACGATTGATACATCATTTTTTTTGTTGGGGCTATTGTGGAATCAAAAAAATAGAAACATACATCTTCATCTTCAAACTTAGAAACTTAGAATCATGGAACTTTACAAGGAATGTGTCATGGCTCTCTTGGCCCAAGGTTTGTCCCTTGGCGATCCACTTCGAACTGCTGGCGGTGAAACTGACGCAGTCCTATTGCATCTTGGCGGATTGTGCTTGCTGCTTCAAACACCCAAATGTGATTGGAGATTAAATTGATTTGTTATATACATAAGAACCAATGTGATTTACATATATATATGTAAGAACAAATTGATTGGGTGGGTGGACTTCACAAACTGGTTGCAGGTGCAAACAGTGGATGAGTGATTCGACCTACTCAACTCGCATTACCTACCTCACTGCTGATGATATTGCGAGACTTCCTGGGTCAATGCCATCAGGCCTGTCATGTCAGAAATGTTTTTTCTTTTGGTGGTACAAAATTATCACTGATGTAGAATCATGTTTGTATGATGAATGTCTACTAATGATGGGAGTCATGCATCTAAAATCTTGTTGCCCTCCTAAAGGTTTCCTTCCTCGACGTCCCAAAGAGCGGAAGTACCAAACGATGATCTTGAACCTAGCTGATGCAGTTGAGCCCAGCCCTTTCTTCTTGACAACAGCTGCTTCATACTTGCGAGATTGGGTGACTGAATCAGCGATTCTTGTTCCTCCTTTGGATGTTTCGATTCTCACTACATCCTCAAGACCAGCGCTTCAAGTTCAACCAGTGGGAAATACTGTTCCAGTGGCTGCTTTGGAGCCCGGTGTTAGCAATGTTAGGATTGAGAGGGGGAACCCTGGTGGACCCCAAGAATTGGTTGCCAACCCTCGAATGGATGTGATTTGTGGGATTGCCAAAACTCTTCAAAAAGAAGGGGTTACGTGGACAGATGCAATCAATAAGGGCTATGAATTGTGGGACAAATTGAACCCCAATGTCATGGCGGCCTTAAATCAAAATTCTTTTCAAGGCATTGTTGCAGCAGGGGCTGCTGCTGAAAGCACTAGTTCCCCAGATCCCCCTGTGGTTGAAGACCTGGAGGATGATGCATCAGTGCCACTTCAACCAGAGTTTGATGACGTTGACCGCTAAGCGAGTGAAAGAGTGACATGTTTTTTCCAAACAGTTTTCCGGCATCTACTAGAGTTACTAGAGGATGTAGTGATCCAGAAACTTCTCAGCAAGGCCAGGTTTCAGGTGTTGATGATCTCCACATCAACCTGTCGGGCAGTCTCATCCATGATCCCTCAACAAAGAAGGTTTTTTCGACCAAAAATTGAAACAACATGTCACCAAATGATACATGGTTTGATTGGCAAATTTAGCGACTCAAGCCAGTGGAGCCACAAGTAGGACCGACTTTCTTTAGAGTTGGCAACATGTTTGAGGACAGCCAGCCCATCCTGGATAGTCAGCCGCAGCTGAGTGACAGTGACACTGGGGCATCTCCACCCCACAAAAAACAGTGTGCTGGTTTGGACCGAAAGTTTTCTTTCTTGGAGACTGCAAAGTCTATCCTGATTCAGAATCTTAGTGACAGCGAATGTGAGGATGAACCATGAGAAGTTGAGATTGAACCGAAGGATCCTATCACTGCTTGTAAGGAACCCTTCCTTGACCATGTCCAGCGTGACCGGGCCTTCAGGATGGCAGAGATCTTCTCAGGCAGTGGCATCCTTGCCGAGGAGATGAGCACTTTGGGTTTTGTCACCATGTCTGTCGACTACATTACTGGAGGGGCTACCCATGATATCAGCAACA